TAGTTTCCATAATTTCCAACGGCCATTGTCATATTATTGTCAAATTCTCAAAAAATATTGTCGTTGTCATAGCGCCAATCATAATATTATCAAATAAATGATTATTTATATCAAAATGGTTTTCAAACTATAATTTGTTATATGTGTTTTAATTAGACAATTCCTTTTATTTGTGGCCCTAAAAATATAATGTAAGTCTTTTATTTTTGCCATCATTTAAGTACCTATTTATATTTACTCCATTTACAAAACTTTGGGCGTATTACGTTGGTCTTGTTTTATTATAATAAACGATGTTTAAATATTTGACTTTTAAATAAAAACTTTAAATAATAAATAATATTTCACATGTTTGGCTTTAATTTTATTTAATAATTGTATAAATTATACTGTTAAATCTTATTTTTTACACATCACAACGATACTTGTTATTAGTATTGTTGAATTTGTGTAAAAAATAAGATTTAATAATCAAATTTAATTATTTTAGAGTAAAATTCAATAAATACGCTCATTTAAAAAGCCCGCGCTTCGATCCATTTAAAACAAGCCCTACTCAATAGATGGCGCCACTTCTGGCAGAGTCCATTCTTTTTCTAGCTAGGTATATTCTTTGGGTTCGGCTTTTTCCGGAATTATATCGCCAAATATTGTTTATTCAAATTTATTATTATTTTCGTTTAATTTTATAAATAAAATACAGTGTGTTGCATACAAGAAACTTTATTTTATATAAGGACGCATGTATGAAATACCTATGAAACATTGGAAACCGACGTTATGCCACGATCCACGATGGTTTTTGCAGAACCTTGAATTAAACTCACAAGATAGCAATAATTACTTTGAAAATGGACGCTATAAACACTTTTCGGAATTTCTTTAATGAGAAGATTCTGACTTTGACAAGAGAAAATTATTTCTGGTTTTGTTTGCCGTTGTTCTTAGCGACCGCTATAGCAGCGCCAGATCGCGTATAACGGTCGCGACCCAAAATAATTTCGCGACCCAAAATTTTTACGGGCTTTCCAATCTAAACTTGTTGCATTTATCTATGAAACCATATGCGAAAATGTCAAAGACTGACATAATATGTCATTCTATTCAGAGTGTCATTTTCTATCGAATAAAGTAAAAAATACCGAAGGTTATATTTAAAAATCAAAAGTTGTAGTCATTTCCGGTGAAACAGGAAGTGACCGAAAATAATTGAATGTGTCAATCAATCCTAATTTATGTCCTATACTAACATACCAAATCTCGTTTTTATCTGAAAAAAAAAGTTATAGGGGTGAGCCACTTTTGAACCGCACTTGGTATAGGACATTTTGGTTTCAGTATTTTTATAAAATCATAGCTATGGCACTGAACTCATAATTCTTCAATGCTGTCACTTCTAGATACCTATTTGGTCTTTGTTATCAAGAATTCAACCATAGAGATTGGAGTACAACGATACAGTACAACGTAAAATTTTTGTTTTTGTTTGAACTGCAAGTAGTATTAGCTATTTTTAGTTAATGATATTTATTTTAATACTCGCTATCTCTAAATTCAAATATCCAGTGCACTGTATCGAACCGGACAAAATTAAATAATTCTGACATTATTTGACCTATAATACGTGATAAATTCTGCAAAAATTAGAAGAAACAAACATGTTTCTTTTATTTCTTCTTCGCCTCATGACGCAGAAAAGTATTCCAATCAGTTGATATCGATGTAGAGAAGAGTATGTTTTCTATAAGTTCCCTTAATATTTAAGTATACATTATTATAATAAATAGTATTTTTTATTTAATTCATTCAATAGTATTGTTATTCGATTAATTATAGATTAGATTTGATATGATTTGTAATCTAGAAATCATGTTATCCAGGTGTGTACACTTTTGTTAAATGAGGTTAGCAAATTATATGACACCAGAGATGACACGTCATTTTAATAAAAACAGTAATGTCATTATGATTATAATATATTTGACCGGATATTTACCTTAGTTTCTATAAATTATTTTATATAAATAAATATGTTATCTAAATTGTTTTTAAGAGAAAAGAAAACAGGTTAAAAAAAGAGTAACCAATGTGAATTCCTCAACACATTCATTTGAAATAAGATTCATAATTTATAAAACATTAAATGATTTTAGTCTGTTGGTATGATTTTACTACCAGTGAATTTGGAAAACTTGAATTCACATTCACAAGGTATCTGTGACCGTGATTTTTTATTCGCTGGGAAAATAACTTGTGACTGTGAATTTTAGCTTTTATAATTTTCGCGTTTGAGTTTCGGTGTTGTCACGAAGTGGCTGTTTTCACAGTTAATCTATATATTCGTGCTGTTATATTTACTATTTACTGCTACTTTTAAACTTCGGTTGCGATTTAACTTTCGTACCTTCTTAGCTATATTACCTAGGGTATTGGCCAGTGATGGGCAAATACCGGGTATATTGAAATTTGTATTAATACACAATTTTGCACCCGGTATATACCCAGTGGGTAAGCAATAGGTAAGCTTGTGGTTAAGCCTAGTGGGCAAGCTTGAGCTGTGGGCCAGTAGGCAAGCGTGTGGCAAAATTTTGAAAAATCGAAACATAATTTTTGTCACACATCACAAAAGTAAAGCCTAAAAAATAGAAATTATTGTACTTGTACAGGGTGGCTCGAATTCGACGCTCATCATTGGGATTTCGGAAACCGTAAGAGATACAGGATCGGTTAAATGGAGGCAAAGTTGTGCAATTTGATGCTCAATAAAATGCCGTATTGCATTTTGAAAAATTCCGAATACTTCCGAATATATTCGAAAAAAAAAACGGAACTTTCAATTTTGTTTTCTATTGTTTCCTGGCTTTATTTGTTAAGATAACTTAAAATGAAAAATACATTTTTATGGCCACTTTTTCTGCTCTATAACTCTGTGTGATTAAATATCGACTCTGACGTTTCGGCTTCTGGCGACCATCATCAACTTAATTTTTTAAAATACGGACCTGATTTTTCTTTCAATTTAATTAAACCCTTTCATCACTCTTAAAACACTATATTATAGTCACTTTGATATTTGCCGACGTTTCGTACAGAAAATTCCATCGCCAGAATATTTTATGCAAAAAATAAAATAAAAATGCAATACGGCATTTTATTGAGCATGAAATTGGGCAACTTTGCCTCCATTTAACCGATCCTGTATCTTTTACGGTTTCCGAAATCCCAATGATGAGCGTCGAATTCGAGCCACCCTGTACATGAGTCAGCTCTGACACGCGTGTCATAGGTTCGCTATTTCTGTCCTGTCATAGAAGATCTTCTTTTCACAAACAAACTTTAATTATATATTTCACTTTAAAAATGTCGAAAAAGGCAAAACATATCAGAGAAAAAACGCCAATAATCTTTCGAAATAATAAGTAAAAAAAGTTACTTCTAATCTAGTATGACATATTATCCTGAGTCATAGTAAAATTAGACTGGACTTAATTTGTCTACCTGACTTATAACGGATTAAAATTAGTATTGGAGCTATTATATGTAAAATAGGATTAATCCGATTTACTTACATTATTCAATTTTTGGGGGAGTTTCTACATTCTTCTAGAAGAAGCTAAGGTATGATTTAGATTTTAATAGCGTTAGTAGATATTAATTAGTCATGGATTATCGGAAATTGGCGTTTTTTGATTGTTGGAACAAATAATGCTAATGTAGTTATCAGCAAGGTCGACAATGAAGGTAAAAGTGCAACTATAGTTTAGTCAACATCGAAAGATAAAAGTTAATGCTAAAGTCGATTCTGACTGTTGTTCAGGATGTTGACAGTTAATAAAATTCCAAATTATTAACCTTATTTTTTTACGATAATAGGTAATTGAACCATTTTTTGTGCCTAGAAGTGATTGTGTCTTTTACATTTAAGTTAACGACGACGCGCGTATTCTCTTCGGACCAACTAGGAGTCGTTTCTCTTGACGCTTCGCATCAATGCGCGGCGATAGGCGGCGAGAGGATTCAAATATTTGTTGATTCTTGTCTCATATCCCAGTTTTTGCGTTATTTGGTAGGAAGAGGTGCTAGAGTTGGGACAAACTTCTTTTTATCTTGTCTAAGATCATTAAACAAATGATGAAATTCACCGTAGGTGTCTCTCTTTTGATTTATATTATGAACCTAGCATTTTTTCTTGTTTTTATCTTCTTCTTCTTCCATAGTGGCAATTAAACTTAGTACAAAAAGGTCCTCTTCTGACGAACTGCTCATCTACTACACTAGACAACGTACTGCGTTCAAATCATGAAGTAAGTAAAATTCACGTCGCGTCGTTCGAGACGCCACGCTTCGCCCCATCAGCTAAATAAATGACGCTTCGTCCCGCGACGCTTTCGTTCTCGACGCTTCGGCTAAGTGCGCGAGCACCTTTACCCTCCAAATTTCGTAAGTTTCATAAAAGCATTTGGAAGAAAATTATAATAAATCGAAAAAAAAATGAGGACTAACTCCTGTAGCTACGAAACAAAGCAGAATCGGACTCATTTTGATAAGAAAAATAAATCTTATTTTTACGTGAGGATTCTCTCCACGAGAGATTGCACAATTTTTGAAACACCCAGTATAATCCTGTTATTTTGTTTCTAGTCGCAAAAGACTCTAATAACGTCTTGTTAAATCTCGCTTTTCTCGCTTTGTGTGTGATCGTGGTCTAAGTATGCCAGCTTCACATCATTATAAAATATTATAAATAATTTGCTTTAAAATGTTAAAGCTAAGTGTTTATGACTAATATATCCGAAACATGGTATGGTCAATATCTAGTATTTAATGTTTGAAATTAATCAGGTTGACTCAGGTGAAAGGAACAGACGAATCGGTACGCATAGTCTAGGTACTCTTAATTTCGCTCGGAACTAGGTCTGTTTCTCGGTGCATGTGCGACTTCCCACAACAGCACGCCGACCGGCTAAACAGTTTCCCTCAGTATCGAAAAAAACGTCACCCATACTTGGTGGTTCTAAACAAACCAATCGGGGGCAAGAAATAAAAAAGAACAATAGGAAATAATATACCTACGAATATTTAAAGCATCGTCGCTCGCACACTTGAAATTTCTTATCAGTTTTTCGGTTTTTATCCATCCGTTCGCCTAGCCGGTATCGAGATCATTTCGAGTAGTGATCTCTCGCGAAGTGGTCTATCACATTCTCGTTGGCTGTGAAAAGAATTTTTTTATCGTAGTGCCGCTCCTTACACCCCTTCGCATCCTTTTACCTATTTTATCTTTTTTCTGTTTATTATTTTTTTAATTTGTGATTTTGTTTTTTGTGTTTTATCTTTGGTTTTTATAAAGTTTTATTTATTGGTCTGGCTTGGAGGAGATACCTTCGGAAATATGCATTTAGGGTATGTAATTTATAATATGATTCTTTTTATCATTTTTTATTTCTTTTTGCTAACATTGCAAATTTTCTATGAAACCAAGGAATTTAGAATTTAATTTCGAATTATCTTTTTCATTATCATAGATACTTTTGATAGCCAAATCAATCATTTTTTTTTCATAAAACCAAAAGGAAAAAAAATCTTTTGTATCAAAACATTCATGCCTTAGGAATTTTATTTTTTAGGCTTAATACTATATTCTGCAGCTAGACTACCTAGCAACAATGTGAGATCTGTCAATTTTCTTTTTCTTAAATAATAGTATATTGTTTTATTAGAAGTAAAAATGACACTTTTTGTGACGAGGCTGGACGTACAGCTGTACATACAGCCGAGGCACAAAACGTCATTTTTACTCCGAATAGAACAGCTATTTTTTTTTCAAACGCTACAAATAATTTTTAAACAATTTCAAACGTTCCAAATAATATAAAAAGGTTTAGAAGTTATAACTTGTATGTAATTATATATCGAGAAACTATGGTTTCGCTCGTTGAGTTTGACACTTTATGTCAGTTTAATAAAATATTTTCGTACTTTTATGCTTAGGCGTAAAAGTGCTTTACTTTTATGCCTAGGCGTTAAAATGACTTTTTTATATTGTCAATCACGTCTCGCAAAAATTAATACTTTTGTGACGTTTGAAAAAAAAAATATTTTTAAATAATATACATTGTTATCTACATATATCAAGGAATGATATTGAGTATATGCAAGTGTTCCATCAATTATTGATTGGTAAACATACATATATGTCTAACAAAACTTGAATTAATAAATTCCATACTCTGTACCTAATTTTTAAACTTCTAGTCCGTTAATAATACTAAAATAATCAACTAGGTACAAAAATATTTACACTAAAAAATAATCTTAAGAATGGATAAAAATAACTACAGGTATACATTCTTTAAATAAATATGTGCAATTTATTTATTTTATGGATAATTTTACATAATTTTCATAATTTTTGAGATATAACAATTAGAAATTAACATTGAGAAAATAAGTTTACAAAGTATGGTTAGTTTATGCTCGCAAATCCTGAGTTATCAAAAAACATTCTTGATAAATTATGTATGATTTATTAAGCTTTAATATTTGTGCAATTTTTCCAAAAAATAAATTCTGATTTTATTTGTGAGTATACCTGTATTAAGAAGCACTTAATGCAAATAATAGAGCAATTGACTGAAAAAAAAAACTAATTGGTAATATCTATTGATAAGGTTTACATTGTTCTGGCTATTTCAAAATGGAGTATAAAATGCTTTTAATTGTTGTTGCTGTTTTTATTTTCGATAAGAAATCAGTCATTTATTGTGCTGATTTAATAATTGCACACTTACTTCCTATTGTAAAGTAATTATTAAAATTCTTATTGTTTATACAGACCAACTTAAATGGTGATATTTATGACTTAAAAAATCTAGTACAGATTTTTTAATCGAAAAAAGTAAAAAATGTACAGAGAATAACATTTTGGGTTGTTCCTCATTTTTAATACAAACTTGCGATAGCTGTAAATAGAAGAATTTAGGTATTTTTTTACTCAATCAATAACCATAATATGTATGGCGAATGTATCATACAAAACAGCGTCAAAGTTTGCTTGGAAATGAAGATCGCCGTCATTTTAACTGTAAAATGATGTTATTGATTGTCATTTCCAAGCCAACTTGACACTGTTTTTTTTTAATCACACAGTATATTTAGATGTTTTTTTGTTTATTTAGAACATGTAACAAATTGAAATGATGTTTAGCTATCAAGTGTGATCAGCATCTAAAGTGTGATCTAGTACAAACATTTCTGGTCATAGTACCTTAATTGATTTTTAATTTGACAGATTAATCAAGCTAGAGTCTGTTGTGACAGACACAATAAACACTTATCTCATTTCTAAATAAATTTGAGTTAAGTAAGGATTTTCATTATTTTGTAGAATTAGATAATGAATCACAAACTATAGTAGATAAAACGTGAATACCATCCATCATTTAAAAGGTAACAGAACAAAATCTAAAAAGGATTTTGTATTAATCATAAATTCGTATTTATATTAATATCAACGAAATAGAAACACTTTTGCAGTTATTGTCTAGACATTAGAATTTCAGTACACCAAATATTCTCTATAGTCTTGTCGCCTCAGCCTGAATATCTTTTGGTAATTTACTTGTTTCGTTTCGAGCCATTTCTGGCTCCAATTCAATCAGCAATCGACTCGAAAGAGAATTAAAAAAGATTGACTCAAAACTGAGAACTAAAGAGACAGCTTTCAACGCCAACCCAGTACAATATTTTTTCTACTCGTAATAAGTTCCTTGAAATAATAATTTCTGAATATTTTTTAAAACGTAGGTAACTCACTGTGGAAAAAAAATATTGTTTAATATTGTTAAAAAATAACTATTAATTTCATCTTAAGATGTATTTTTACATCTAAAAAATGTACTGGATTCCGAGATGAGCATGCATCATCGCCAATAAATATACTTGAACACACAAAGCACATGTTATCAAGTTTTTTTACGACCAGCAAGTAATACAGTTAATCCATCGTATATACCTGAACTAGCCCCTACTGTTAATTTATGACATAGGTATCGTAATTACCGCGGTATATAATATGACTTGCAGATAAATAATTGTATATATTATTATTTTTCCATTTTATCTACTATATTTCTGCTATTAACTTTAGATTAATACATAAACCGTTTTAAAATAAAGAGTTGTAAAGTTTACATTTACTAGATAATCGTTCGGCGATTAAGAAAATTACAAAAGGCTAAGTAAAAGAAATAAAAGGTATTAATTTCTTAAGTATAAAAATAAGTATGAACAGGAGTATTATAATTTTATCAAAGGGATTAAAAGAAAAATTAACTTGAGTGTCTTTCCATGAATTTAGGTGGAATGCGATTTCTAATCAAATGATATATAATTAAGATCAAATATGATTATGATAATATATTTTTTTAATCTACATCCATTGATTAACAAACTGGAAGATACTTATTTTATCATGACGCATTCATTAAGTTTTCGTTCACTTTTGGATATAGAATTTATTATAGATTATAGAAGGACTTTTGGGTACCTGGAACGGAAAGGAAACGGAACGGATAGTGTGCATTGTCCTTTAACTGGACAGACTATATTATATTAAGTAAAAAATGATGATTGTCCTATTTATGTATTGCTTTTCTTTTACAGGGACATGGAGGGTGTGGGATTTGCGATAGGCTTAGGTATTTTGCAAACCTTGGCCTTCATCTACGACGTCCTCACGTTCCCCATCTACGTCCTCCTCCAAAGGCCATGGCGACAGAGACAGATGGCTCGGAAAATCAAGGTCAGGATCGATTTTCCGATATTATGTTGGATCGATTGTTATGTTGTAGCCGAATCCATGTCAAGCATGCGCTTTTGTCTTGGTAGTTTTGACGCAACTCATAAATTAACGCTAGATACATTTTTTTTGGCTTGCCACTAATATTAATCAATTATCTTATTAATCTTCATAAGAGTTAAATACTATACGATGGAAAAAAGGCTGTCAGAGATAGCTCGGAAATGAAGATCGCTGTTATTTTCTGTGTAAAATTATATAGGGAATGTCATCGATCGTCATTTTAAAGCCAGATTTCATTTTTTAACTATTACCGAAAGTGCGCGAACTTAAGTTATCCTTATAGTAGTGTACCGTGTTATACCGATCTGGTCGTCGAAACTGCGTGGTCTGTATTTTCAATACAAATTGCGATATCAAAATAAAAAATGGCATACAGTGTTACCGGTTTTTGCGAGTGTAGGAAAATGAGAACTATAGTCAAACGAGTAACTAATTGTGAACGCCTACTTGTGCGGTTTGAAATTTTGATGCAAAATCCGGCAATACCGTATAGAAGAAATGTATCAACCCAATTTTTATCTCTTTTTAATACATTTGATTTTACATTAAGATGTCTACATCACTGTCTTACACATTAAAATCCAGGCCACGCAGTTTCAATGACCAGATCGGTATAACCTAACGGGGAAATACACTTTACAGTATACCTGTAAAGTAATAGGCAAAACATATTTAATGGAACCACAATGCCATTTTCTATGTAAAATACTTTTAATTCAAGTTTATCAGAAATATTAGTTAAGATAATACAATAAAATTTATTCAATTATTTCTGTGGTATAATGCATCAGAACCCGATATGTCAAATTGGAAATATAGTTGATATATCGGGTTCTACCTTGGTACCACAGATTTAAAATACTTAAAAATGCACATTTAGGACATCGATTAATAAATAATATCAGAACTAATTTAAACTTGTTGCAAAAAATTTCGGATATTTTGATTAAAATTCAACTGAGAACTAAAATATCTTATCAAACTGTGATTATGTTTTAAATTATAAGAAGAACTTTTTTTATTCTATTTTTGTTTTCAAAAATGCTTTTTTATCTTATTATTTATTAATATTAAAAGTAAATCACCCTGTATATACAAACATATTGATATTGAATGTTATCTTTAATTAAATTAACATATTTTGTTTAAATGACGTAATGTGATTTAAAAAACTAAGAAGCCTTATCAGTTATCATTCATAGTTTGTCTGGATTTGGATGATTTTCGAAATTGTAAAATGGGTATATAATCCCATCCTTATACATGAAAGGATTAAATTTGGGTTTCTTTAAACTTATACCTTTGTACTTTGTATATATCAGATTAAAGAGTTATTTTTTGCATTTAAACAGTAGCACAACGTGTAAACATAATGGTTTTATTTTGATTTAATCAGAGATTGATAAGGTTATTACCTGGTTTAACGACTGATACTGAAATTAGAATGATAAAAATTTTTTTTCGTAAGATTCGTCGCGCACTATCATTTTAATGTAATTTGAAATTAATTCGATAAAAACCAGTCATGCTGTTTCAAAGGAGGCTTTTTTAATTTTTTTTAATATAATGTGTAACACTATTTAGAAAACTTTGCTATACTGGGTATTCCAATATTCCGTGGACATAAAACTACGTATTTTAGGAATCGAAATTAGTTATTGAACATGTAGAATGTAGAATGTTTAGGAGGGGAGTTAATCAGTTAATCACCGCGACCTGACAGATCTATTTTGTGTTCCCCTTTCTTGAGTTATAACTCATACAGTCTCAGGGCTTTAAGAAAAGCAAGTATCTGAGACGGCTCCACAAAGGCCAGCTCTCCATCCTCGACATCAGCCGAACCAAAGTTCATGGCACGAATGGTCGTCGTCTCTGCGCACGTGATAAGGTGTTCTGGTGTTTCCCCATTTTTCCCACAGAATCTGCATTCGCCGTCGTTTCTCAGCTTCAGCCTACTGAGGTGTTCGTTGAGGAGACAGAGTCTTGTTAGAAACCCCTTGACAATTCGAAGATTGTTTTTATTTAAATCGATACTACTTGGATCAAGGAAAACCTTTGATTTTTCTCGGTCGTAAGTTCTGAGGAACTTTTTCGAGTGTCTTAGACCGTTGGGGGACACCCATTCCAAGTTACGAATGGAGTCTTCCAGATGCTTCAGTTCCGCTTTCAGTTGGTTCCCGTTTGAAAAACAGAACGGTTCTGGTCCAGTTAGTGGAGTGTTCGCTCTTTTTCTAGCTAGATCATTTGCTTTTTCATTGCCTTCTATATCTTGGTGAGCAGGCACCCAGAGTAGGAGGACTATATTTTCTTTGCCTAATTTGTTGAGCTTCTCTAGGCATTCTTTGACCAACTTCGAATTGAGGGTTACTAAGTTGATCGCGTTTAGTACTGCTTGACTCTCGGATAGGATGGCAATTTCCTGTTTTCGATAGTTGCTATCTAAGATAAATTGTACGCATCTTTCGATAGCGTAAATTTCGGACTGAGTTTATTCAAAAAATACGTAGTAGTTCATTGTCCAATAAATTTTGGGACACCCTGTATATAAAAATATATAAAACATTTAATTATCCTTTAAAGGGATTAGTAGATGTCTAGAATGTTTTAAGTTTAGTAATATTTTCAAGTATTTGCGGTACAAGTCGCACATTAAAAATCTCAATGTATATTTCCTAAAAATATACCTAGTCTCTGATAAACGTCACTTACTTTTGAACTAATGTAACATCGTATGATTTTTAATTAGTTGTTACGAGTAATTTACGTATCAAAAATAAATATTCTATTGTAGTCATTTGTTTGTATTAGAATTTTATATATTTAGTATAGGCTTCAGGCTTTGAGCCCGGTGTGAATTCATATTCAAGTTATGTCATAATATGGGAAACTCAAAAACGACATAAAGTCCAAAAAATATATTTTTTTAATATTATTTTAAGGATAGTTTTTGATATAACTATAAAACCCTGTCTACGCGTAACATTTTACTTTAAGTTTTACCTCTTCAGTCAAAACGTTTGATCTCATATTTTTTATTACTCCAATTTATATTTTGCATTCATTTATGTGCATAGAATAGGTAGATATTTCTGTTAAAAAGGCACTTAAAATGACCAACCATCTTTTTGAAAATATTAAAATAAAAATACCTTTTTGTAAAATTTAAATACAGGGTGTCCCAGAAATAAGCGCAAGTATTTTAAGGGGTGGTAGATCTCCATAAAAGAAACATATTTTCTCTTTATCGTTTTTCAAATAAGACCAAAATAATGGAGTTATTTTACTTTGAAAATTTCCAAAAAAAAATATTTTTTGCTTAAATTTTGAGAACCACTGGATTTTTTCTGGATTTTCTTTCTTGTAAATTTAATCTAATACCTATGTTGCCATATTATCAGGAAATTATGTTTTTTAACTCAAAACTAACAAAAAATCCAAAACATTTTTCAAAAAATTTCGAATTTTCAAATATTTTTTTTCGCGCAAGAAACCTTATAGGCGTGTTTCTGGGGTTGAACTATACCACCAGTTAAAATACTTGCACTTATTTCTGGGACACCCTGTATATTCAGTAAATAATACATATGTTTTTGAATGATATTCTTTGAGAAATCATATATTTACTTCATAAATTACAATCATAGTATGAATTACAATGCCCATTTTAGAAAAAAATGACATCAATATTAATATTTTAGCTCAAATTTTGTTTTAATAATATAGTCTCGCTTCAGTTTTTAGTTGTTAAATTTTTTTTTAGTTGAACTTTTTAATTTTTTAGGAAACATTTTTCAGAATAAAAGATTACCTGAAAATGTTTTAAATACATTTATGCACAAGCTTTTAATGTTTATTTATTATTTCTAATATATTACATAAATTACTTTCACTTCTTTTTCTATTTTTTTTATTAATTCATAATTCAATTCCTTGGAAAATGTTTACATGGAATTTTCCTTATTTTCAGTATTCAAGAACAATTAAATGGAAAAAGCCTTTATTTGTTTTTTTTTCTTGAATAATGAACTTAATGATTAATAACAAGTAGTTTAACAATCAATGTTTTAGAGTACTTAGAAATCTAATTGTGATAGTGACAGTGTAACAGATGATTCTTATTTATTTAAAGTTCTTATCAAAAAATGTTATAATTTCAATATAAAAATATGTGACACTTCTCAAACAGAATTGTATATTTTAGGGAATATTATAACTGTTTTTTATATTGTAGTTTCAAACTTTGACAAGAACTGAAAATATATTTGGAACATTAATTTTTAAGAGCTTCACTATTAAGAAAGACACGTATTGAATCGACTCGGATCGGTCGACTCGACTAAGAGCTATCGGCATGTTTTTGTATACATAGAAATAAATGTAATCAGTAATCATCGGAGCGGTCGTCGAGTCGACCGGTCCGATGATTACAACGATCATATTATTTATTTCTCTGTATTGCTAAACAAACCGAAAAAATCAAACAAAACCTGCCGATAGCTCCTAGTATGCTCTTAGTCGAGTCACCCGGTCCGAGTCGATTCAATGCGCATATACTTGAAACTAAATCATAATTTCAACTCAACAAATATCTTTGAAGACATTAAAAATCTTATTCTGTGATATGCATATATTCGTATGTATGATTAGGGTATTATACAGAACAAAAATGAATCATTTTTAAGTTACTAAGAATTTTGTAGATTTAGTGGTACGAAGTTTGCTATCGCACAATTCGTTTAAAAGCAACACACAAAGCATCCACGTTCGCACACAATGCACAAACTAGGTGAAAGGGTTAAAGTTGTTTATGTGTAGTTGGCAATTATTATAAAATCTCCTTCGTATTAACGTTAATCAGTCAGCGTGATATTATTAATACTAATTACTCAGTTAATATCGTGTCTTTTTTATATCTTTTTACAATAATATTTATTAACTATTGTCAAGGTCAGGTATATCGACGTATAGATTTTCGTTTGATACACTTAATAGTTGATTTAATAGTGTTAATTCTTTCTGATGTAATGTATGCACCAGTATATCGATTACCGAGACATTTATTGGTAACAGAAGATCTATTAATAATTAAATATTGCGTTCGTCATGAAAAGTAATAATCTTAAAGTTTTATTTACAAGGTTATATAGAATGGATTTTAACTTGTATTCATCAAGGCACTGGAAGTTAATAAAGAATGATACATTTGTAATTTTATTATTTCAAAAATGCAGCTACTATGTGAATAGATATAATAAAAATAATTGTAAACAATTACATACGTTCTTGCAAATGTGTGATGTCTGTCCAGCGAGAAAATACATGACTCGCTGACTGTTAAGCCTAGTTTTTAATGGACACCTAAATAAATCTACGCTACCGAAAGATGCATTCAACTTATCTTAGATAGTCACTATCGGAAACAAGAAATATACATCTTATCCGATAGTCAAGCAGCTTTACAAGCGATCAATTCAAATGTTAAATACTCGCTGACGAGTATTTAACACGCATTAGAAGATGGTTACACATGCGGTTTTCTTTCATGAGTTTTTCTGTGACTGAAAAGTCCGATACGTGATGTTATCTCTCTTCCGCACTCCGTACATTCAAAAATCTCATTACTTTGTTGCCTTTTTACGCTCGGTACACTGCAAGTTTCGTTTTTGTGCTCAAGTCATGATTGTAAGTCCCTGTCTTTTAATTTCCAGAATACTCTTGAGGCGCTGCTAACTCTGTGCTGAATTTCAGGGTCTATATTGGCAAAGATATTGGCCTACATATTCCAATAGTTCTTCTCCGGTTTTTATAGCACTGTTATGATTTTCCGGAGGAGTGCACATGATTTTAGTTTTATCCATGTTCAGCTTAAGGCCCAAAGCCTCGTAACCACCAATTACAAATTAGGCAAAGAAAATAAAGCCCTACTCTTGGTGCCAGCCCATCAAGCAATAGGAGGTAATGAATGAGCAAACGATCTAGGTCGAATAGGAGAGAAATCTCAAACTTGACAAGTAAACCAGTTAATTTTTTTTTACTAGTTTATTTACAACACTAAAGAAAATCGTAGTTATTCATCCTTATATTTTACTTTGTATCTTTCGACCCTAAGTAAACTTTCAGTCGGTGAACAAAACGGTAGATAATCCATTGTATATAATCTTTTTCATTACAATAGATAACAAAAATGACATATATATGTACGTATGATATGATTTATAAGGAGATTTTATAATTTGTTTTGTCTGTTCCGTATTTGTGTCTCGCTGTTCTATTTCCCTCGTACTCTTTTCACAGTCAACTGTTTCCTGTGTTGACACTTTCAGTCGTTTATAGGCATTTATCGCGTCAGCGGAAAAGGAAGGTAAAAACGATGTTTCCATCGATATCCAGGACTCCGCTAATAATAATGTGGCCATTAGGCCGATTAAAATGAAGTTTCAGGTACAAATAAATATATGAGTGGTTTATGGTGTTAAGAATATACATGAATTTCCTATATTTTTGTGATGAAAATGGTTTAACACCGGTAGGCTTAGAAATTGTATTCGAATTTGTGGTTTTTGACCTGAATATTTTGATAGTTGGCATTGACAGCTGATTCTGATTTAGTGATTTATTATTAAGGCTGTATTCTGTTGCAAAACCAGGCGAACCAGACCGGTAAAATACGGTAAAAGCGGTTCCTGAAAAACATCGGTTTGATACGGAACGGTTTGGTAAAATACTGGAAACGTCAAATGTTATACCTCTATTATAAAATTTATCTTTTATGCATTTTTAATGCACCCATTCTCTGCTTTTATGTTGCTTCTTCTTTTCAATGGAGTTTAATATTCAAAAGTACTTTATTAATAAACTGTTAAACTCGTTAGACAGCTCAAGTGAAGATTTGCAGGTCCAATATTAAAACAGATCAATAATAAATAAACAAATCTATTCAATGTTTTCTTTAAATATTCCTGACTTTAAGAGACAATGGCTGCATGATAAGTTTAAATGGTCCTAAAAAGTCATTCTATTTAGTTAATGAAATTTATTTACCTTTACTGTCTACCTCCATTGATTTTGGATGTAAATACAAAATATTATTACAAATTTTAGAAATTAAATGAGAATTTCACTTGAACTTCCAATATTTGCTCGATTTCTGTAACATAAATGACATTGATTGATAAACAAAACCAGAAAAACCAGCCTTCTCGCGCTGGTTAGTCTGGTGACGATTATAACCGAATATTTCAGGAATCGTGTTCCGTAATAAGAAAACTTTCAGGAAACCGAGAGAGACGGAACAGAAAGTCATAACCAAGGTAAGCAACGGAATACACTGTAAGTTCTTGTACAATGTTCTAGTTATAAAGAAGTTCGTATAAATTATAGTTGTCATTGTCAAGAGCTTTAAGTAGTAGGTAAGTCCTTTTTGGGTAAGTCCGAAGGCAAATATAATTTCTAAATCTACTGTAGTTTGAGTTGATGAAACCTTCTTTATTGATATTAATTATGTAAAATTATATTTAAAATTATGAACCCAAAATAATTTATTCAATTTCGCACTATTTTGCTGCTTGATTTTTTTGTCTGTTCAATCTTATAATTGATTATTTTTTCTTACGTGGACATTTAGTTTGTGTCAAGAACAAATAGATAAGCGTTAACAAAATAGAGCAATTTTCAATTGAAAGTTGTATTTCATATGACTTTTTTAATAACCTTTAATTTATTCATACACATTTCGCATATTATAATGTATAATATTTTTATATTTTTAATCGTCAATGTCACATAATATGTATTTTAAAGTAAAGTTTTCAAGATATCTGAAATCTGTATAAAATAAATGAAAACTTATAACATTTAAGGATCTTCAAGTCAATTTAATTATGTGCAGCTAAAATATGATACATTTGATTATGCTGATGTATAGGTATATTTGATACCAATTTTTTTTGAGTTTTGTTGATGTAAATAAAAACTGTTTATATATTTATAATTAATTTATGTTTGTTTCCTAAAATATTTTGATTAAAAGAAAATATGTAAAAGTGGGCAACGCTGTGCCGGTCAAGCTTAATCACGTGACTAAAAGTTTATTTGATATAAACTATAGATATAGTTCTTAGTATGAAACAGTTTTTTCGTACTTAATTATTTTACTCTCTATGACACTGAGTCTTGAAAAAATTATAACGTGATTTTACAAAATGACAACGTTTATTTAATTAGGTATATTATTGAATATCAAAACCCGAAAACAGTTGTAAAGACAATGAGTAAAACTATGTTGAATCCCAAAAATGTATAGATAGTTTTATTTTACAAGGTTAATAACGGATACCATAATACATGAAGTAATGGCATTTCTATTTCTATCTCTGTATAATCTAATGTCGTTTCCAACAGGAAATTACACACTCATCGTCCAAAGACTTCTTGATAGTAAAACTTTTTGATATTACATGTATTATCGGTTCTTAGATTTATTTTATTACCTCCAATTTAGTTGGCAGTATTGTATAAAATAAAATTGGCTAGAAACATAAAAATATCTTAATTTTTGTGCTAAGTTACAGTGATGGCAAAAGTAAGCAGTTGCTAGTAAAAAAGTATGTTTGAGTACTAAAAAATATGTTATAAATCTAAAATGAGACATGAGAGGTATAATATTTATGTTTTAATAAATTTAATTACTTTTTATCTAGATTTTCTATAATCGACCAAAAATATTGATTCTTCTTTACATTTTGTAAAATACAATTTATTTTTTATTCAAACAAGTTATAATTCTACTCAAAATCTAATGAAAATACTGCTTTGTCGTCGATTTGTCTGCAAATGAAACATAGGCAAAATATTTATTTTTGCAAATTCGAAAAATAATTATGTTTACATGTAATTTCCTCTGTCTAATGAATTAGTAATAAAATAGTCAATTTTTTATAAATATTGACGTTTCTAATATCCCTGGAACGCAAATCAATATTTTCCAGCATTTACCTTTTGTTGCTAGTCCTCGAAAAGGAATTAAGATTGAAAATTATAATTAGTTTATTTTATTTGACACAATAATCTAGTTAGGATTTTAATAAATCCATTAGCAGCAAAAAACATGATATCTTCTCCAAATCACACTGAATCTATTAAAGTACTTAATAACTAAAATATAAATAAACTTTAATAAACTAGTAATTTTCTTAATTACCTTAGGCGCAAGAAATAATTATTTAAACAATAAATTTTCCAGAATAATATGCGTTGTTCATTATTGAGACCTATTTGAGACTACGATATAGGTATTACAAAAAGATTGATGTTTATATCTGTACGTTTATTATAGCTGTAGTCATAGTTAAAAATAATTTAATGCGTGAAGACGAAGAAATCACGCTTGTTTTACTCTGTTGTTAAAATTTAATCGGAAAATCAGATCCGAAGAAAGTGAAAACTTATCAAATATCGGTCTAAAATATACTTTCCTCGTTCGGAGCTGTTGTTTGAACCAGTTTTAAAAAAATATTACTGTGTTTTGGTCCTTTTATACGCGTAGATCTCTGGATTATATAGATTTATGACCGATTAAAGCTTGATTTTCATGCATCCGTTATCCGACGATACGTTGATACGATATTAATTTTATTGGTTGAATTTAGAGACTTTGATTGGTTAGAAACGGTGAACCAATCGAAGCCTTTAAATTCAACCAATAAAATTAATATCGTATCATCGTATCGTCGGACAACGGATGCATGAAAATCAAGCTTTATGCTGCAGAATTACTAAATCCAAAATCACAAGTTTCTGAACTTGATGAAACCCAAATTCTTTCTGTCATAGAATGCATACTTAATATATCAAAATATAAACTTAATATAAAGGAACAAGAAATAATAGATGAAATAACAGATTACCGTTGTAGAAGTGGCAAGTTATTTGGAAATAACTTCATATGGAAAAGTAGTTTTAATAAACCCAGTCTCCTGGTGGAAAGGACTGTGTTCTTCATCTTTATTATCAAAAGTATAGCTTCACGAATTTTGATGATGCCAGCATCTTCGGCTTCCACGGAACGCAGTTTTAGCGTTTATAATATTCGAATATTCATTCAAAAAAGAGAAACAGGCTTACTAATGATAGAGCCGCTAAGCTATTCTATGTATCCCACAATGAAAACTTGCTAAAGAAAATAGGAAACGGCAATATATCAATTTTTATTTCCGATACTATTGAAGATTTTGAGGAAGTAGACTGGCAAGAAGATGTTATTGAGTGTGATGCTGATGACAGCAATGAAGATATGCCTCTTGCTCGACTAGTGTGTCAAAAATATTTTTTTTGTACAAATTTAACATTTATTTTTTAATTTGAAGAATAATAATAATTACTACTGGTAGTACACATATATTGGTCGAATGTTTTCTTCTTTAGATAAAGTGGCACTAACAGATTTGAATATGATTGAGTTTCGTTCATAAGTACTCCATACTAACTTAATTCGTCTGTTTCAGTTTTCATATGATATAAATCAGGATTGATTGACGCTCGGATTGACGTATTCAATTATTATTTTCTGTCACTTCTCTCTGTCGATTACAACTTCTGATTTTTATATGGTACCCATATTTTTATATGGTTTGTATGGTTTTATAGATAGAAAATGACATTAATATATATAAAAATAAGAATCATCATCATCGTCATCATTTAGCTTATTCCGTTCACTGCTGAACAAAACTCTAGCCATTTTTTTCTATTTTGTGACACTTGAACCCAGTTTCCAGCCACTCTCTTAATATCATCTGTCCATCGACTAGGAGGTCGTCCTCTGCTTCTATAGTCCTCGTGTCTTAGTCTCCATTCCACAAGTCTCTTTGTCCACCGCCCATCTGTTATCCTAGCCACATATCCTGCCCAATTCCATTTAAGATGTAAGACAGATATCACCTCAAAAGTAAGAATAAACAAAATAAATAAAAAAATAAGAAAATTACATTTATAGATAGACTGAATAGAATGACATCTCATGAATCAACTTCTGACATTTTCGCCAAAAAAAAAATATGTTTTAAATTTAAATCTTGAGTGCCGTGCCGTGCCCGTATTCATGACAATAATTTATCATGAAACACACAGTATGTGATACCAAATTATTAGTAAGAAAATGCATAATCCAAATGTGCTAATGAGCCACGCGTCCCGTCGTTCCATTTGAAAAAATTGAGTTATTATTAAAAATACGATTTGGGCATCTTTTAACCGACCAGGAAAAGTCACTAAAACATTAGATGATATCTATTTTTCCAAGGTTCCTTGATTAATAATTAGTAGTTTCGACAGCTTGGGCACTCTAGATTGAAATTTAACATGTGTGCTACCTTTTTATTACCACTAAGAATTATTCCTACGAATTAATCAGATTAAAACTAGTAAATCAGTTGGAAAAAACGCGCAGTCTGTCAAAGGTTTTTGAACTGAAAATGTGGTTTTATTGACGTTATCAATCATAAAGCGATTAACTTGGTGCCTAAACTATATTCAAAACAACAATTATTACTTCAACCTTTGAAATCTTGACTTTAATTTCAAAATTGCTTAGAAAAATGATGGATATACGTATAATCATAAAAAATTAAATGTGGTGGTTAATAATTAGTTAAATATTTAAAAATCGTTAAATTAGTAGTTATATTTTATTTCTAATTATATGGCCTTATAACAAGGTTAATAATTTTGGCATGTCAGGTGACAACTGATGGGGACAAATTAAAAATTGATTTTTAAACATAAGTGGGTTTAGTAAGAACCAACAATGTTTTCTTCTACTAAAATTGATTAAGACAATATTTTTTTTTAATATAATATTGTTAAGGATTTCGTGGGCCCTTAATTCAAAACACACGATAAGTAACGATACCAAACCTTCCTCTCATTCTTTCTTTGTGTTAAAGTCTCTCTCTGCTTCGTCTAGTCCAATGACTAAAGAATATAAGGATATGTAACGCCCATATACGGGCTGCAGCAGAATTTGTGACCTTAGTGGCCATTCAAACCAAACCAAACCAAAACAATGAGTCATCATTTGGTCACCAGCGACACTTTTAGCGATTTTTAATAGTTTGTGTGTAGTAAACTTTGTATAAACTTTATTACAATGGTGATTAGTTGATCAGCTTTCAAGTGTAAAAGCAGCAGCGATAAGAAAGAGTCAGGAGTTACGTTTCATAGGTAAATAAACAGTCCACTCCAACCTTTTAGCGTTTTCTTATTGAATTCGATAACTATTCTTCAATTTCAATTAACATCTATATGTACTTGATATGTGCTATACGTCGATACTAGTTTCTTCAAACAGCTAGGTTAAGAAAAATATGTGCCACGGCACTGTTTGGTGACATCGGCACAATTTGCTCTCGGGTGTTATTTGTCTTTGGATTCTTTAGTCAATGGTCTAGTTCCTAGTCCCTCCAAAATTCTTGCCCTAAAGTTTTAAAGCGTCGGTATTCCAATGCCGGACAGTGGCCCAGCAGATGCTCTATGATTTCTTCTTCCCCTTCGCATTCTCTGCAGCGAAATTTACTTTCCTTTACTATAAAATAATAAAATCTGCAATAATTTAAGATTTTTTTAGCTGTCACGATACAGGGTGGTTCAGTATTAGAGAACGTTGTAAAGAGATGGCTGTTGTAAAGTGAAAACTTTTGTGTAGCTGTTACGTTGAATTAGAAAAATTTACAGCGATTTCTGTTGGCTGATTTATCTATAACTATTTTTCCTTTAATTCATTGATATTATTAATATTTCTCAAGTTACAATCGCCGTTCTCTATTATTGGACCACCCAGTATAAACGTTTTATAAAGTTATAAAGGAATTTTCTTCATCTAAATGCATTGTTACAGCTGCTATCTATCATTACAGCGAATATTGCAAATAAAATATTCATGATAGCGTGTCACTGCGTTATTTCCATAATTTTGCGAAAAACTATCACGTTATCATAATACTTAGTTCGGATTTCAAAGGTCGATAATTTGATATATTATGTATTTATACATTTTTCTTGCGACACAAACTACACAAGGACATTTAAATTAATCTAAGTTTTGAAAATCACATTTAAATAGAAAAACATGTAAATCATATGGATCAATATGATTCATTTTTAAATTTGCAATCTTTAAAGTATATGGGTCTTTTTCGTTGAAGTTGACAAATTACCCAAAGACGTACTGTCTGATACTATAGAATAGAACTGAGATATTACCATTTTCTCTTAATTGTATTATTTTAGATTTATATTATTTGCCTTTATCTTGCTTATCTTTGATCGTATATCGCAGTGTAATTGACTATTAGACACTTGTTGTAATAAACGTATTCATATACATCTTTATTTGATTTATGTAGCTAATAAAATGTTCAATAAACACATAAAAGGACGTCTTTTTTCGATCGAATGAAGGAATTTATGTATTTTTTAAAATAAAATATTAATTTAGGTAATTGTTATTTTAAGACCGATTTTTAATAATATAGTATTTAACAAACTATTAATTGAAATCATTATTTACGTAGAATAACATTTTACTCATTAGAATGCATAATGGAATTATTGTTACAGCAATACATTTTAAACTAAAAATAGATGAAGATCTTATGCATGTTCGAACGTGTATTATCATCATCATCATTATCATTTTCAGTTTATTCAACCATTTCCAATTATGGTGTAGCCTCCCTCACATAATTATATCTCAGGTTCGGTCTTCTTATAAGTCTCTCAATTCCTCGTGGGTACCATGCTGTAATTTTTGTGGTCCATTTGTTGTCCGTCGTTCTTACCTGGTCCTGCCCATTGCCACTTGAGGGATTTGACTCTGTGGATGACATCTATTACCTGGGTCTTTTGACGTATCCACTATATTCTTTTACGGTCTCTTGATTATTCCCAGCATATTTCGTTTCATTGAGCGTTGTGCGACCTGCAGTTTCCTTGTGATGTCCATTTTCAGTGTCCAGGTTTCGCATGTATAGGTCATCACTGGTAGTACACTAGGTAGCACACCTGGTTCGAACGTATAATCATAGAAATAATTACAATAGTATTTAACCTAAAGAAAGTAGGTACGTAAAGTATACCCAACGAGAAAATATACATGACAGTAATTGTTGTCTGTCATTTTACTTAACAATTAAATTGTATTTTCTGTCATTTCTTGGATGTCTTCTGTCGAAATCTTCCCTGACTCTTTGGACATGCTTTAGAATCTTCATACAGAATAATCAAACAAGATCCAATGTTTTAAATTTTTAGTAGTACTCGGTACAAAACTCCCCCCCCCCCCTCCGATACTATTATATTCATGATTTTTTTCAATACATTATTAGCATGAGTATTATACATGATTCAAAGCTTGCTCCTCTATTCTCTCATTAGTGATTTAAAAATTGTAACGGTTATTTTTTCACATATATGTTGATAATGATATCGTTCTATTGCTGCCAGAAGTCACTAACTAACATTTTTCCGAACAATCAAATTCAATGACTATCTATGTTTTGAATCGGAGAATCGATTGCAAATGTCATTAACTACGATTTCTGGCTATTTATGTTTTATTTTAATACCGAATAGTTAACTATAACATCTTTATGCAATGCAATTCATCTTTAGACGCATTTTTCTCGGAACTAATAAAAAGTAAGTTAGTGACTTTTGGCAGCAATGGGACGATATGGATTTACGGAACTTACACAATTTAATATTCTTAATACCTTTATGAAGTTCTGATACAAAAAGTAATATAAACCTAATATTAATATTTGCTTATTTTAAAATATTCATTCACATAATTAAGGATGTAATAATAATTGTTAAAAATCAAATAATGGGCAATACATAGATCTACTTTTTTCACAATTTTTAAAATTTACATATGAATAAATATTCTTTAATAGTTTGGTAAATAACTCCTTGAGTCAATATGTTCGGGGTCATTTAACAGATTTGAGCAATCTTAGTTTATTTTATATTAATATAAACAGATTACGCAATACCCCATTTTATTTTTGGCAAAATCAAAATAAATTTTAGGTTTGCGTTTTTGGAAATATAGTCCCCAAATGAAACGAAAATAAAAAATATATCAGTTAATATACACGGTCGGCAAAAACTCGCCTTGTGTACCGATTTTTGTGTTTACGAAGAGCATATTCAACATGAGTTCAGTACAATAGACCACGCAAGCTCTGACGTCACGTCGGCCATGTTTATTCAATATTTAGTTCTAAACAACCCTAAATTTGTCTGTGTTTTGCCATAAGTCGATTTTAAACTACTAGTATATGTGCTTAAAATTATTTATTAACTCAATGTAAAAAGACTGATGCTGTATATAATTTAATTTAGATTATTATTAAAGTGACAGAATTTTGTTTTGTTAGGTTAGGTATAACTGTAACAAATTACAGTTCCAAAGTGCGACGTCAGCCATATTTGTATGGCTGACGTTACACTTGCGTGGAAGAGTTCTCTGTCCGACATATTAAGATCGCCATAGCGATTCACTCCTAAATATGTAAATACTGATCCAAGACTCTCCCTTGCCGACACTGTATATTATAAAGCTTCACACTTAAAAAAAAATTCAATTTTTGTTTTCAAGGGTCATATCCTTGCAACACAATGATCAAAAAGTTTCACAATCAAGCTAGCTTTGGACGTCCACATTACCAAATTCTATCTATAATATAATTTAATAATTTAAATACATGTTGTATTTATTCAAATATTTATTTATATATTGGATGATGTGATTTTTGTTGGCCATATTATTATAAGAGATTAAAACTACAATAAACTTGACACAAAGATGTAGGGACTATTGAGACCAGATTTATTTAAAATAGTTAATTGTCAATAATTATCATATTTAGCGGCTTTGTTGTCCTCTCTAGTGATTTATATGCATGGCATGTATCTACATAACATATTAACTCCTTTTTGCATATTGGTTCCACATAAATTATAGCTTTTATCTTAATTACTATTATTTGTTAATTAGTAATATTATATTATCCTTAAAGGAGCCGTTTCTATGGCTTAAGTAATTAAAAAAAAAATGTTCAGGAATGATATATATGATTGGATAACAATATGTGTCACTGCCTATAATTCTTATAGCAATAAACTTATGCAATAAATTAATATAAGATTTTATTTTTGTATAAAAATTGACAGGAAAAAATAATTTTATGAAATATAATATGCTTATACACCACTTATAGATTTTTGTACTAATGTTAATTTTTTTCTTTAGTCACAACCCATAACACAGGATACCAAAAGTATCACCTATCGGTCAACTACGCAACCAAGCCCGCTTCATGTATCCCTACTTCGCGAAAAGATCGATACTATGGCTAAACTTATGGATTTCATCAATAAGAAATATCCAAACAAAAGATGTCTTGGTACCAGAGAGATCCTGGGTGAAGATGATGAAGTACAACCCAACGGCAGAGTATTTAAAAAGGTACGATTAGATGTTTAGAAAACATCCTACTGTTCATATTTTATCGTAAAGTTGATTGCATATACATAGATATGTATAAAATATAGACTAACCATAACGGCGATATTCACTTTGAAAGTTGTTCTCTATCATTTCAATTCAAAAGGAGATTGTATTTTCTGTTATTTTTTTAATGTATTGTCCTTTTCGCGATGTCCATTGGAGAATGCGCACCATAATTTGTTCTGTGAAAAGTTTAATAGCCAATAATTTCGTAAATTGGAGGGTACTTTGATGTTCACTCGAGACAAAAGATGGGGACAATCTACTAAGCCATTAAAAATTTTACAAGTGTAAAACATATCATTAAATGACCGCATGTTGTTTCTGTCTTATATCAGGACATGGCGCTGACGGGCAATTTTTAGTCGGCGGATTATTTAGTTGCAGATTTGTAACCAATGTTTTCTTATGTTCACATGCAATCAAATAGTCGATAGACCGATCGGCTGCATAAGAATGTATTGTTTTTATTTTTGCAACTTAATAAATGCCGACTGAAAATTGTCAATCAGCGCATAGTTTTAGAATGATAGTTATTTTTCAATGTATCTCATAATGCCTAGAAAAAGCCGGTTCAACGAGTCATGGAATATTTCAATAGAAAATGAAAATACAATTTACCTGTCAATAAAAATGACAGACACAATTGTCATTACTGTGAACCTACTCGTTGCACAGACTATATCTCCTCTTAGACAGACCAAAACAGACCAAATCTTCTTAAAATAGGAAATTAAGGTGGTACAATCAAGATGGATTGGAAGATTAAACTAAAACAGTTAATACTTACAGCTACAGAACAACGCAGGAACATTAATAAAGTGACATATAAGCGATACCAATTAAACTTTTAGTTACCTAATCGAGGGCGCGATTTTTAAATTAATTGTTGCCAGTCATGGACATATTCGGCGCCGGGCTGACTCACTGGAATTTAAATTTCTCGCTGGGGTTTCAGATGGTGGCTCTGTTGTAAAAAATGTCAGGTTCCCACATATATTTATTTATTTCCTGACATTTTCGTTTAAATGAATTGTATTGCGATACTTTAAGCTTAATTTTTTTTTATTTGAACGGGAAAACGGTAGTGATAAACCCCCTTTACGTCCCTTAAGTACTGTTGTGGTACTGTTAAAAAGGTGATTTTTATTGATGTTAATAATAACCATTTATATATTTATTATGAATTTATTTTTGTTTTCTAAAATATATAGATTAAAAGAAAATATGTAAAAGTGGGCAACGTTGTGCCGACCAAACTAAACCACGTGACTAAAAGTTTATTTGATATCATCACAGTATCATCTATATGAGAGGTATAGAAGCAAAATCTCCACTTACCTTATTTTTTCATGAGAGATAAATTTCTAATAATGCAATAATGAATCGCTTAGAGCTGAGGACTTTTGATAATTCTTATTTATTCTGATGTTTATATTACTCGTGTGACGAAAAAAACTCCTAGCATAATGTCATCCATGTATTCATGCAAGGTGGGCGGAAAAAGGACTCTAGGGTGGGGATCCTTGACAGTTCTGTTTGACGATTCATTTGACACATTTGAATTAGATTTGAAATTTTGTGGATTTGTCAGTCTTTACGGAGCTTATTTTACTGATAGTTGTATAAAGGTAGTAAATCTAGATGGAAATTTTAGCAGAACTTAAATTAACAGTGACACTATCGCGATTTATCGAAAAAGACTCTAAAATAGTTGGTTGTGTAGCGTGCGGTAGATCTCGGCAAAAATCGAGTGAAATAATGGAACAACTTTACGCTAGTAAGTGACTATATAATATACATACGTGTAGTAAACCGATCATTTATGAAATTCACTTAAATTAACTAATTATATATTTTTTCTTGCATTTTTGCTGTTATTTACTACTTGTCAAAGATTAGATGTCAAAGAATTTAGATACATCAATTTGACTTACCTGCTTCAGTAGCGTATCGGATGTTTATGGTTATAAATAATTATTATAACTTATCTATTTTTATTAGAATTTTATATTTTTATAACAATTTTAATAACTACCAACATTTATTCACAACGTAAAATAAAAAAAATATAGAGTCTACCCCACCTCTACCCTACATCATAGTTTTACATTTTTTTAAATAAAATTAGAACGGCACTGATAAACCGGAATTTAAGTCGGCCATATTTGAGGCCCATCGCGGTGGACCTAAGATTTTTGATATGCTCCTTCCTTAGTCTTCTTATTCAAATGTATCAAATATATTTATCTAGTCACCTAGTTGTCATATATTTTGTTAAGTTCACTGAATTCATTCTAACAACTTCAAACTATCGATAATGTATCGCTAATACACTGTTCGGCAATTGAAATGATTCGGCGTGTTACATTCACGTTTTCAACGCCTACTACTGATCTACATACTCGCTTATTGTCAAGGTGAATGTCATTACGAAGTCATTGGCGAGGTCTATCGAGTTATGCCATTAATAAAGGAGAATTAATTTCATTTATCATTTATTATTATAGAAACTATGTAATTGTTCGCATTTTTTGTAATGCGTTCTAGATATTTCTTGGCTGTTGAAAAAAATTCCACCTGCTGGTGAATGGGTGGATTTCCAGATATTTTTTATAACAATTGCATTATTTTTATTAAACAAGATAATTATAGATGTAATAAAGGATATTTTTAAAAATATATTAAACGCAGATACATTTAATTTGTTGCCCGACGTAGAAAGTGAAATTCATATTATTTTCAATTTTAATTACTCTTTTTCGTGAAGTATCCGGTAATTAACACTTTGTTTACTTTGATAGAAAATTATTAGTTTGACGGTTAGACTCATACCTATTATTTTGCGCTATATTATTCTAAATAATTGAATATGCTAACAAAACCGTGTATTTAAATTAAAATTAATACTTTTTATTGTTAATTAGTGCCAATTGTTTTTTTTGTATGTTATACGAAAGTACAAATTAAATTTTAAAAAACTCCTACAAATTTAAAATGATATGACAAAAATTCAATTATTTATATTGACATCATTGTGTTATTTTCAAATTTGATATTGTTTTATTTTGTAGTACTACCTAGTTATTTGTTTTAAATAATATTTTGGTATCAGAACATAAAAAAAATAATTAAAAATATGGGTGTTATTTAATTAAATAATTCATTACTTTATGTAAATACAGGGTGTTTCAAAAAATATATGCCATTTCTCGTGGGACGATTCTTCACATAGAAATAAGATTTGTTTTTCATATCAGCATGGGTCCGATTCTGCTTTATTTCGTAGCTGCAGGAGGTTAAAATCTTAATTTTTTTTTCGATTTATTATAATTTTCTTCCAAGTGCTTTTAGTGATTCCAATGAAATTTGGAGAGTAAAAGTTACTATATAACTTTTACCTTCAAAATTTCATTCGAACCGCTAAAAGCCAATATTTTTTTTCTACCCTTACATAAAATTTTAAAGAACCGGAATTTTTTAAATAATGCTTGTTAAATTTTGTCAACAGAGTTTATTTTTAATTTTCAGTTCAATATGGGCGAATATCGGTGGAAAACATACTCAGAAATCAACGCTTTAGCCACAAATTTTGGTCGTGGACTGAGAGAACTGGGATGCCAACCTAAAGAAAACGTAGTTATTTTTGCCGAAACTAGAGCCGAATGGATGATAGCCGCACATGGACTGTTCAAACAAAACATTCCTTTAGTTACTATTTACGCTACATTAGGTAAACCTATTAAAATTAAAGTCTATGTAGAATCATAAAATCTGATGTGCGAATTACCGTGTGATTTAAAAAATCGCGGCTAGTTGGCTTGGAAATGAACATCGATTACATTCCTAATATAATTTTACATGTAAAATAACAGCGATCTTCATTTTATAGCCATCGCTGACGCCGTTTTTTTCGATCATACGGTATTAGAACTGTAGGTACCAAAATTACTAATGAATAAATATAATTGATGATATTTTTGGTCAATTTTATTTTGTTTTTTTATTTTTTTTAATTATTACTTTTATTATTATTTTTATTCTCTATCATTGTCTTAACCCTTTTCTATACATTTACCTTACATCTTACCTGTTCAGTCAAAACGTATCAAGTATAATATTGTGTGCAGTCGAAAAAACGGATGTTTCAATTGAAGACTGTCTTTCGTTAATTCTCTAGATAGTTTTCGGTTTTAATTGACAGGGAAATGCTAAAGTATGTAGACGAGGCTTTATTCGTTGAAGATATCACCGATTTAAGATGACCACGTCTGTATAATCCTATTGTATCTTGGACTAATTGTGCAAAATATCCAATTTACTTAAGAAAAATTAATTCTTTTTAGTTATATTTTAGGAATTTTAATCCAAAATTAGGTGAATAAGGTATAAATAACTCGTCATTAACACACAATGTACAGAAAGAATAGATGACTCAATTTAAATTACCTAATTTGTTCATTTCGCAAAATTAAAACAATTCCTATTGGGTATTCCACTAAATTTCATTAATGATATTTACAAATTGTTTTGGCAGCTTGGTATGAAACTATTAGTTTTGTTTATGAATGTTGTATAACAAATTATCTTTTATATTTGTGCAAAAAGGAAACAAGTGATCGTAAATGCATTTTATTTTTCTAAAAAAGCACGTTTAGCACAGAGAGAACATTATGTAGAACAGTACAGGTTCAATTATTAATTATCGAGTAAAGTGTAATTATTTTTCATGTTTTGTTATTTCTAATTTTCTAAACAGTTAAAAAAAATAAAAGATCAGATTTTAAAAAGTTAAATTCTAAATTCCTTGATTTTCTGTTTTAGCTTTGTAGTGAATAAAGCTTACATAGTTTATAAACCTCGTATAAAACTAGTAGTGGGAACTATCGAATGAATACTATCGAAACATTCGATAGTTGCAATTCATTCGAATAATTCGATAGCTAGTAAGAAAACATTCGTCGAAAACTATTCGAATAAAAATTATCGAATAGATGCGTCATCTGCCTTGAAATATTGTATTCTAGTAATTCGGCAGCAAACACCATTCAATTATAAAATTCATTCATTATCAAATTCATTTATTCGTCAGGATCGATTTTAATAAAATATAAACTGGATTTTAGTTATCGTCCGGCGACGTAGGTTTCTTTCCTAGAAACCCGACAGCGGTCGGTGGCAATGAAAGAAGCCGGCATCTTTGATTTTTTGCGGAGTCAAATAAAGATAAGGACACATTATTTTTTTTATTGAGGTGCTAGTATTTACACAGAAAATACATTATGAAGGGCGCTGTTGCCATATATTCGTATTAATTGGTATTAGCAAAGAATATTATTCTTTAGCATTAGTTAGTTAGGGATAGTATGTCTATATGTTTTGCATTTTTTTATTGATATTCTGTTATTACACTGCAATAATACTTTTTATTTTGGATGTAGGAAAATGGTTTTTAATGTTTTTAAGCAAAGACTGGTTTAATAAATAATAATAACAGTAATAATTTGTTATACCTATTAACAACAAAATTTAAATCATTTAATAATACAAACATTTTTTAAGTAGTAACAAAATATAAACAACAAATAGAAGTCAAAAGTATTTATATTAGATCCTATAATATAGTCTCTAAATGGCAACGTTGGTTTATTAAATAATAATAATTACAGAACTAATTTGTTATATTAACAACAAGTTTTAAAATCATGAAATATAAACATTTATTAATTTTCTAAGCATGCAGTGTAATGGAAGGAAAATATAAATAAAAAAATTAGAAATCAAAATTATTTATATCACTTTTTATTACTTTATATTACTATTTAAAAATAATATTTACTTTTACTGGCATTTACTTTAAAAAATAAATGAAATATTTCTTCGCAAAAAACTACATGAGGCACACATGTAAGAGAATTAGCATAAACAAAATACAAACATTGTTAACTTTTTTTTTAAATTGGCACCTGTAAAACTTTCAATTTAATTTTCTCACCCCAAAATTTGAGTTTGATAACCATTTACTTAACCACATTACTTAAATATGATTATTAAGTTCAACTAATTCATATTATTAAAACATCTAAAATACAAATATGTATTTTTAAAATTAATTGTAAGTTCATCTCATCTCTCTTAAAAATTGCTACTTCTCAAAATTTCCCATTAAAAAAATGCAATCTAACCTAACCATAATATACCATATAAAATTAAATAATTGAAAGATCGGGCTACGGAAAATCACACAAATTTTCGGAAAAATTTGACCACTTCGCACACAATCGTCAATTAATAAACTACTATTTTAGTATTTTAAATATTTTAATAAACGCAAAAATAGCACAGTATTTACAAGGCGAAGTTATAAAAATTTGGAAGAACTAATAATGCACTGACGCACACAAAAATCAAACGAATACTAAATTTCATTTATCAAAAGCATTCGATAGTCGTGGCGCAACGATAACCATTTAGTCGCACGGCGAGGTTGTCACATATGCTTTAATATACAAATGAATGAATGATTTTATTCGAATAAAACCATTCGATAGTTGAAATCATTCATTCAGTAACCATTCGATAGTCTAATTCATTCGATAGTTCCCATCGCTAGTTCAAACCTTATTTTAAAGCCATTTTATTAATAAAAACGTACTAGTCATAAATTTGTTTCTTTTAGTAATGTATCCATTTTTTTTCTATTTCAGGAGATGAAGCTATAGCACATGGTATCAATGAAACCCAAGTCAGGACTGTGATAACTTCGTACGAATTAATGCCCAAGTTTAAGAAAATCCTAGCGCTCACTCCTACAGTTAAAACGCTAGTCTACATGGAGGACCAGCTGAGGGATTTGGATAAGACTGGATACAAAAGTGATATTGATATTGTTAGTTTTACTGATGTTGTGAAGAAAGGCAGAGAATCGAAAATAGGTGAGCCATAATTATGACATTCCCATGATAAAACATTAATAATATACCAACAAGGTCCTACAACAGTGCGTCGGACAACTGTAGGTCATATACAAAAGAACTTTTCAAAATATCAAAGTATCTACTAGGGCCTATTTCATGAAAATATTTTAACATTGATTGCATTGATGATTTTTGTAATTCTTCATCTAACAAGAAAAAATAAATAGTGTTTGGCGTAGAATTTTGAACATCCTGTATGATTTAAGATGATGATATTTATAGCAAAGTAAGTAGAGACCAACTATAATAAATAGCTAGTATATTACAGTTGGGGATTGGACTTTTGGTGTTAAACAGCAAAATACAACACTAATTCACTACAATACACCAAAAAACTTTTCTTATATGTTCCTCCTGGCTTCCTTTTTAAACGCGCCTACTCGCGAATTATGTAGTGATCTGGAAGGAAGCCGAAAATGCAATAATGTACAGCACTGCGTTTACGCACTCCTGCAGGACCCTGTATTTAAAATCTCATTAAACGCTTGATAATAATTAGGGGGGACTGGTTATTATTTAAATTTCTAATGAATGAACTTTTGTTCAATTAACGATGTGTACTATAATTAAATATTAATTTTATTTCTTATAACTTTTAGCAATTATCATAAAAACTAATTACACCTTATTATACAATCAGCCATTATTGATGAAAGATTTCCTAGTTTCTTTTCCACAGCTGAAATTTTGACAAATGTATTTTCTTTTTGTTTATTAGAGTCCCAACCCCCAGACACGGAAGATATTGCCATTATTATGTACACTAGCGGCTCTACAGGTGTACCAAAAGGTGTAATGATCCTGCACAAGAATTTGATAACTACGTTAAAAGCTTTCTGCGACGCTACTGAAATCTACGAGACGGACGTTATGATCGGGTTCTTACCATTGGCGCACGTGTTTGAATTATTGGTCGAAACTATCTGTCTGTGTGCCGGCGTAGCTATTGGATATTCGAGTCCTCTTACTATGATAGATTCGTCCAGCAAAATTAAAAGGGGTACTAAAGGAGATGCAGCTGTTCTACAACCAACTTGTATGACCAGCGTCCCTGTAAGTAAATTAATACATTTTATAAATGTATTATTTTGATTTATAACAGCTTAAACATCCTCACACTATGCCCGAAATGTCTCGGTCTATTTCAATTGGTGCCAGTTACAAATCTATATTTTTTCTTTTTATTCATAGTAAGGAGTATGTTTTTTTATTTTATTAAAGCTCATCCTCGACAGAATTGCAAAAACCATTCAAGATAGAGTAACCAAAAGTAGTGGCTTTAAGAAATTGATCTTTAAATTTGCATTTGATTATAAAACCAAATGGAGAAGGAGAGGATACCGTACCCCGCTTATTGATAGGTAAACTAAAATTCTATTTTATTAGTAGACTTGGTGAGTTTATCATTTAATTATGCTATTAATATTTTCTAATTTTTAGATCTGTATTTGGTCCAATTCGTCAGTTACTCGGTGGTCATTTGAGGTTAATTATTTCTGGTGGCGCTCCACTATCTCCATCTACCCACGAATTGATCAACAATTGCCTGTGCATCACGATTATGCAAGGTTATGGATTAACCGAAACCACATCATGCGCTTGCGTCCAAGATTGTAAGTGTAAATCAATATACCGTGCGATCAAAAAGTTTCGGGGTCAAGTGGGCTATTGTTTATCTGTCATTGTACAAAACCATCTTAGTCATATAACTTTTTGAACATATTGTATATTTTGATTTAATAATAATAGTAATAACTCGCTTATATAGCGTTTAATGCCTTGGGAGTAGCAAGCTACAGCTTGTCATGTTAGAGCCGTTCGGTTACAAGGAAGGGCATATATATATACAGGGCACCCTAATTTACACCTGCTTTATCAATAATTTTGTATATTGTATATACTTTTTCCTTGTGATTAATTTTGTGTGCTGCATATACTTTCGCTTCATATTTTTGTGGGTGGGATAAAATTTTCTGATGTCATAAAGCGATTGTTTTTCTCTGTCTTATACCGATCTGGTTATTGAAACTGTGTGGTCTGGATTTTAACGTGTATGAGAGTAATGTAGATAGCTTAATGAAAAATCAAAAGTATTAAAAAAAGATAAAAGTTGGGTTGGTATATTTCTTCTATGCGCTATGGCCGGATTTTGCATCAAAATTTCAAATCGCACAAGTGGGTACAAGTTTACGAAAAATGCATCTAGGGTTGGAACTTTATTTTTCACAATTAATCACTTATTTTACTACAGCGGGTAATAGATTATATTTAGCTTAGATATATTATCTTCATTTTAGTAGTTTACATGAAAGTTTTTAAAATAGTTTATTTTTTTCCTACACACATTTTCCTACATACGTAAAAACAGGCAACGCTGTATGCCGCTTTTTATTTTGTCTCTCTGTCTGTCAACCGGTCATTTAAATTTATCTCTGTTGCATGCAATAAAATACAGAACACGCAGATGAAGTGTCCAGGACGGTATATTGTTTCTTTTGAAAATTTGAAAATTTTATTTTCAAAAAATATTTTGACTTAATATGTTATACATTGTTATTCTACTTCCAGTTCACGATCCACAATATGGACGAGTTGGCGCTACAACAACGGTTTGCGAAGTGAAAATCGTCAATTGGGAAGAAGGAAACTACAGGGTCACAGACAAACCATATCCCAGAGGTGAAATTATTATTGGTGGCGATAATGTTAGTGCAGGGTAAGGAGTTTTTAATATTTTATTCAAAATACTTTATCCTACATTGTAATATACTTTTAGATATTACAAATTACCGGGTAAGACTGAAGAAGACTTCTACGACGCAGATGGAAAGAGATGGTTTAAGACAGGCGATGTAGGTGAAGTCCATGACGATGGCGTCGTCAAAATCATTGGTAAGCTTTCTAATTTAGGTTATTCCAATTTATAAATATCAGTTAAATAACGTTTAATAATAATGAACTAATTAGAGTTTCATAGTTAGTTGTGTCTCAGAGTTACATAACCATACAGAAGCGACATGAGCGATTTTTTGAATTAATGGTTTGATTAAGAGAATATGTAAAAAAGTAAAAAGCCATAATGTAAAAAACGTAAAATGATGTAAAGTTTATTTCCTTACGTTTGGTCCAAACCTCATTTGGTACCCAATTATTATTTTTTTATTTTGTGTATAAACCAAAATGTATGCGAAAATAATTGAAAGTATATGTTGGGAAGGAAATGCCATTTCTTCCTTTTTAATTTTTCATATTTTTTTCGTGTATTTTACATCAAACTGTAAAAGTTGTAGTTATTTCATCGGAAATGATTACAACTTTTGATTTTGAAATGACACCCTCGATATTTTTTTACTTTATTCAATAGAAAATGACTCTCTGAATAAAATGACATATCATATGTCAACTTTTGACATTTTTGCTTAAAAAAATCGTATTTTAAATTTCAGTCTATAGTGCCATGGCTGTTAAAAACACAAATTTTTAATCAAGGAGCCTTGGAAAAATAGATTTGATTGTCTAATGTTTTAATGTCTTGTCCTGGCCGGTTAAAAGATGCCCTAGTCGTATTTTTAATAATTTTCGTTTTTTTATTCATCTCAATTTTTTCAAATAGAACGAGGGTAGCTCATTAGCATATTAGGAAAAAGCATTTGGTACCATTGGTACCATACACTTTTGAGACGCACCCGGTATAGTCTGTTCAAGGAGTCAAAAAAATTTTCAACATCCAACAAATGCCAGAAAATACAATTTAGCAGTTAATTAAAATGACATACTCTCACTGTCTTAGATCCTCTCGTTGCCTTGGATAGACTATAGCTACACTATTCTGTGGTGGTGTTGTTAACCAGTAGTCGATAAAGAGATATACTACATTCAATTACATAGAGTTAAAAATTTTCAATTATATAAAAAATAACTTAAAACTTTCATTTTATAGATCGTAAGAAGGATTTGGTTAAACTGCAAGCTGGCGAATATGTATCATTAGGAAAGGTGGAATCCATCCTCAAGACCTGTCCACTGGTGGACAATATCTGTGTATACGGCGAACCTACTCAGTTATATTGCGTAGCTCTCGTTGTTCCGAATCAACCACAACTCATGGAATTGGCCCAAAAGGTTGGAGTGGAGGGAAAATCTTTCGAGGAACTCTGCGAACTACCTGAATTGGAAAAAGCGGTCTGTGCCGAATTGGCTGAACATGGAAAGAAAGGTATGGATTTTAATTTATTCTTTTTTTTACTTTTGTTTCATTCAATACCATACTCTGCTGTCTGAAATTTATAGTACCCATTGAATCAAATTAGTATGAGTTTCTTTGCAAAAAATGACAGGAAACACAATATATCTGACATGAAAATGACATACAATTGTCACTGTCATGTCTCCTCTCGGACAGGATTTTTTTGTGCATCAAATTTTAAATGAGTTTCATAGTTTAATAGATAATATATATATGTAGTTTTTTACATCTAAATTTTTCCATTGTACAGGGTGGTCAAGAAAAAGAAGTTTAATGTTTGAGCTTAAGGAAGAAAAAAATATTTACAGAAAAATAGGTCAAGGATATTGTAAATTTAAATTATTAAGTTGGCTACATTAGGGGGCTGCATTCTCTTAAACTATGAAAATCTAGAGATATTTAGTATTCTCACTATAGTGTTGCTGGTAGCTCCCTAGTGTCAGCCAAATTTCGAACTAGAAGATAATTCACAGTGATTTCCCTTGGTCGGTTTACTTATAAATACTTGTTTTCCATAAGTTCTGTTCTTAACGGTTCCCGATTTACAGCCGATATTATTGGGCCACCCCATTATTATTTGACTCAAAGACGAAACAAAAAGTAAAGTAGACTTTGAATAAAGAATCAATCTTCTATATACCGGGTGCGTCTTAAAAGTGGCTCATCCCTACAACTTTTTTTTTTCAGATAAAAAACGAGATTTGGTATGTTAGCATATGACATAAATTAGGATTGATTGACGTATTCAATTGTTCTTGATCACTCCCTGTTTCACCGGAAATTACTACAACTTTTGATTTTTAAATGACATCTTCGATATTTTTTTTAACTGTATTTGATAGAAAATGAATAAAATAATAAATACATATCATATGTCAAACTTTTGACATTTTCACATATGGTTTATTTGAAATTGTAACACATGCGGTTTATAACGACTATTTGGCCATAAAAACTAAGTGTGTGGTACCAGATTATTTGATAAAAAGATGCTTTTTGCAAATAAGGTAATGAGCCACCCTTGTTTCATTTGAAAAAAATTGAGATATGATTAAAAATACGATTTGGGCATCTTTTAACCGGCCAGGAGAAGACACGAAAAACATTAGACAATCAAATCTATTTTTCTAAGGCTCCTTGATTAAAAATTAGTATTTTTAACACAGCTATGGCACTCTAGATTGCAATATAAATTTTTTTTAAAAGCGAAAATGTCAAAAGTTGACATATGATATGTCATTCTATTCAGAGTGTCATTTTCTATCGAATAAAGTAAAAAAATACCGAGGGTGTTATTTAAAAATCAAAAGTTGTAGTCATTTCTGGTGAAACAGGAAGTGACCAAAAACAATTGAATACGTCAATCAATCATAATTTATGTATTATATATTATTAAGATACCAAATCTCGTTTTTTACTCTCGTTTTTAGAAGCACCCGGTATAATATTCAGAAATTGTAGAACATAGTAATAGTTTAATTGTTCTAATTCCAGGTAAACTGCAGAAGTTCGAAATTCCTCACGCCGTCAAGTTGGTGGCTGAAGTATGGTCTCCAGACATGGGCTTGGTAACAGCAGCGTTCAAATTAAAACGGAAAGATATTCAAGATCGTTATCAGTGCGATTTAAGAAGAATGTACGCCTCTTGAGATGTTTAAAATCCACATTTTTTTTGTAGACAGTGTTCAGGACGTTACATGATCTTTTTTTTTCACGTCGTCGTCAGAAAATTCATTTTTGCTTACAACAGTGCTTGTAAACAAAAACTTACTAAAAATAAAAAATCTCCAGTAGCTATTCACACAGATATAATAATATATATTTTAACATAGACAATTTTCGTACTCTACTTAGGTTTAATTTTAGAAATGCAATAACACTGGCAGATTTTTTACTTATTATTTCTATATTAAAACCACTTTAATATAGTCAATTAAAGTTTAGGTCTTTTAATATTAAGCTGTTTATTTTTGTGTCTGTTTTGTTTTGTACTCTATTGTTTGTTGAATATTTTGAATCTTCCTAAAGACTGTAGGTATGGGCGCTGATAGATTTCTCTAAATATGTAGTTTTTTCATAGATTGCCGTGTCAAAACATATTTAGTTTAATCCAGCACAAATCAGTTTAATGATAATTATTTGTTATATGTAAGTTATTTTTTTCTGGTTATGAAATGTAGATTTCATTATTTACACAATTGTTTTTATAAAATGCTTGTCAGGTAGAAGATTGATAACCTTTTTAGAGACAAGTACTTATTAATTGTAGGAGAAAAAGTTGTATTATTTTTTAAAATTGTAAATAAGTGCTATTTTTTATTTTTAGCAATTCAGCTAAGAAATTATCTGTATTTATTTAAAATAAAATAAGATAAAGTTTGGATTTTCTTTTTTTATTTGATACATATTTCCATATGCGTACAGACCTGACGAGACGAGCGCGAGACTGCTTCGATTCATTTTATGAGAGACGCCTGCCAACATTAGCGTAACTAGCAATTCAGCCTGGGGGGCCTAGGGATTCTGTTTTTTTAAAAAATGAAGAATAATATCATTAAATATAAATACATTTTTTGAATAAAACGTTTACATGAATTTTTCTATCAATAAATTTGATAGACTTGGTTATATCAATCCGTGTTCCCGTGGATTACTTAAATACCTACAAATTTTGTAAAAAATTAAAAACTAATACACATTTTTTGAACACAGAAAAAAATATTAATTAACTAAATAAAAATGGAAAAAATAATTTTTACTACATCACAAGCAAATAAAAATTAATATTTTGCCAAGAGTCATCGTTCAGTCAAAATTCAAGATTTCTCTGGGGGGTGCCCAGCAGTACCTGGGAGGGGCCCGGCACCCCTGTAGTTACGCCATTTTCTGCCAATCAAGCTATGTATAGCATGCGCTGATATCTCGCCGTCGAGCGAGCCTACCACAACCACTTCCAGACTGGGCAGTTGTGTCTGTACGCACCTTTAGGAGAAGGAAGAAGTGAAACAATATTTAATAAAAATTATCTAATAATTTATTTAAATATATTTATAAATTATTTATCCTCAAGAAGGACCGCGACAACAAACTTGTATAAAACAGTTTTTAAATAAATGAAAATGCACTTAAATATATGAAACTATATTTAAGGAATGTTTAAACCTAATTTGAATACTTAAGATCTAGTGTACTTTCCCCAAATATGCAGCATAAATACTGAAGCAATGAACAACAGTGACATGACAAGAACAGGAACGGGTCCACTGAAAATAAAAAAAATATGAAATTTTAAAATTGCTAAACATTAAGTTTTCTTATTATTAATACTGTATAATTGTATTAAATCTTAAAATTATGACATCATTAAGTAAATTCTAACACAGTTCTTCTAAATTTATTTATATTAAATATAATGTCGAGAAAATATATTCTTTAATTTTAAAAATAATAATTAGTTACTCCTTCATATTATAGTAACTTTTTTGCTTTAGATATACCGGGCGTGTCTCAAAAGTGGATCACTCCAAACTATAACTTTTTATTTTTTTAGATAATAAACGAGATATTATGTTAGTATATGACATAAATTAGGGTTCACTTATATTAATAAATATATAAATAATATATAAATATAAATAGATAAATTATTGGTCACTGCCTGTTTGACAGGAAATGACTGCAACTTTGATTTTAAAAGACACTCTCGGTATATCCCTATTTTAATTGATAGAAAATGACACTTTGAATAGAATGACATATCATGTGTCAACTTTTGACATTTTTGATATTTCCGGTAAAACAGGAAGATACCAAACACAATTGACTATGTCAATCAATCCTAATTTACTTCATGTACCAACATACCGAATCTCGTTATATAACTCAATAAGTTATAGGGGTGAGCCACTTTTGAGACGAACCCGGTATACCTATTTAATCTTTTTAGCCTTGCATTGATATATGTATGTACTTTTAGGGATTACCACTTAGTTTTCTTTAGTGGTCTTGCAATCAACTATAAAAAATGCTAATTTTGAAAGAATACTAATGCCCTTGTTAAAACAGAAATTTTAAATAAATAAACATGAAGCTATTCTTCTATTCTATGCTCAACTGAGGCAATACTTATTCATGTTGTTCAAATAATAATCCATAATATTAAAAGCTATACAAAGTATATTATGTATTATAAGGGTATCACATTTTCAAACCTAAGGTAGGTATAGTATTTTTTGTCGTGTACAATAATTATTACACAATATTATTTATTTAGACTAGAGGATTAGGTAATAATTATTATTAAAGAACATGGTTCACATTGATATTTTTTATAATTCCTGTATTAAAAGCTCAGGCATTAACATTAGAAAAGAAAGATTTCAGATAAAATTTTGATCTGATAAAAAAATGGTCATTTTATTTCTTTTTGAAATCTGGTACAGACAAGAATCAAATTATGAACTTTTTATGGGTCAATATATTAACATATGTTTACCATCACACATAATTTAAATTGTTTGAGCAAATTGAAAGATTCTTAGTACAGTTTAGTACAAAGTTTCTTATATTTAAAAATAAACAAAATATTCATGTATGTAAATAAAATTAAGACATCCAAGTAAACAATCAGTTATTTTGTAATAGCTTAAAACTCAATCTAAGTAACTTATAATATTTATATAAATAAAAAGAAACTTACACTTTGATTCCAGGGGAGTCATCAGTGTAAAACCTCCACATACCACCTGTACCTGCTCCTGTATTTCTTCTGGCTGTTGTCGTCGTTGTAGTTGTTTTTCTTTGTCTTACGGTACCGCCAGTACTAGCCCTTGGTGCTCCCCCTTTGGCAGGAGACCTACTTCCAGCACCAACATTGGTCGAACTTGGAGAAGCTGGCTGAAATTATAATAACATTATTTTTTGGTTATTTTATTTTTTGTCCTAATACAAATTAGCTGAAGGAGCAAAATTAATTTGATTAATTTTCCGGGTTTCATATGTTTAATGCACTATTTATTTCAGCAAAACTCAACTTTTTTTAATTTCTGTATTTATCTTTGAATTTTATTTTGACTATAGTGTATGAATAGTTTTAATTATTAATTAGATACTCTTACCATTACTATTTGTTAATTTGAAATATTCGTGGGATTTTAAATAATGTACGTTCTTACTGCTTTCCAGGTCAAAATTTAAATGAAATTTTAACACATTTCATAAAAATACCACTAGGAACTGACACGTCACAGTTCCACGCAGCTCCACGAACAAACGTCAACAAAAAAATTGATGACATGGTGACATTTCCCCACAATTTCCCTGTTACCAACATAACAAAAACAAAGTCTCAAAACTCTTCTTCTTTTATTTTACTCGGCTTTATAAATTTTGTTTATCAACACTTTTGACACTACTTTGACATTGTGCACCATCCTTTTCTATTCTTCAAGGACATGTCAATGTTTTTGTTTACGGTGCGCGAAGAGGTGGCAGGTGACACTTTGACATACGATTCGTTTGATTGACAGTCGTTCTAATATTTTTCAAAATGTATTTTTTGGAAAAAATTTGCAGGATATGTATTCAAACTGGGGTTCCTTTAGTAGATTTAAATATGGTAGATTTCGACTCAGTCAGATTAAGTGAAAAACTTCAAATTTGTACTAAAATGGTAAGTTAATTATATTTTTTAGCTATTCTGAAAAGTATGCGACCTATTGATTTTTACATCAAGAGAAAATTTTATTATATCAAGACAATTCTATAAAAAGTTGGATTATTGTATATTTATGTTAACTCAGTCTTTGAAATTTGAATTTTAGAAGAAACAATTAATTTCAAACTTCTGAACAAATAATATACTAGTACTTAATTAATGGGTACTTATTTATGTTGAACTTTAATTAATTTTAAATTGCAGGTTATAGCACAGGAGACCATTTCATCAGAGATATGTGAAAAATGTGTAAACAAATTAAGAGTTTCTTATCACTTTCAAGAGATGTGCAACAAAAGTTCTAAACTTATACAAAGTTACTTAGAAAAACTCACTGGAGAATATAGTTGTACAGAGGAAGGGAAAATCCAAAAAGATCTTGAACATTCTGAACTAAATGTTGAAATAGAACAAATACCTAAAAGTGAGATTAGAAATTTTGGTTACATTGAAGAAAATGAAGAAGAAATAAGTGAGATATGTATAAATAAGGACAATATTCTTCAACCTGGATATAGTGGCAATTTGCAATATGAAACATCCGGATGTAAAAGGAAGCAAAGAATTACTAAACAACAAAGATGTTCACTTCTTAAACAACTCTTGACCCCTGGCAATAAGCCTAAAAAAGAGAGGGACAAAACTAATTATATTGAAACCAGCAGCACTATATATTATGACAAAGGTGGTCTTAAAAACATTATTGACTTTACAAAGAATTACACATTTAGTTTTAAATTAGACAAAAATTCAAATATTGAATCAACACCTTTAGATAAACTGACAGCATTTTCTACAAATTTTTTCCAAAGAGATTTTAATGATTTTCAAACTCATATTTTACATGTTATACAAAATAGGGATAAATATGAAAATATTAGTGCATTTTCTACGGATGATGAAAGTGAGACAAGTGATAGTGAAGCGAATAATGGAATAGAAAAAGAACATACCCATTTCGAAGAAGTAATAGTAGAACCGGACATAAAAATTAAAAGTGAATTGGAATTTGATGATGATGAAGAAGAAGGTAATAAATCTCATCCACCGATTCGATTTTGTTATAGTTTTTAGTTTTATTTTTTTTTAGATAAATGTCCATTAGATTATCTTGAAACATCATTTGAAGAAGAAGAAGAAATGAAAATCAAAAAAGAAGACTGCCAGTCTGACCAAGAGACTGAATCGCTTAGTAAAAAAATGGATCATTATTCTACTCCGCATCATTCAAATTACTATCATAGTCCAGGTATAAAAAATAAAATTCTGTTCCATAGGAGTCCACATACATTTGATTTAAATACTGTAGATTTACAATTAGGAGAACCTAACTTTAGTTTAAGCCAAGACTCTTCTCATTCTGTCAAATTATTAGATAGATTAGTTTCGAGTTATCCTCTAAGTTCTAGGAAAATATTTTCGCCAAATAATGTAAGGTGTAGAACAAGAAATAATCCTTATATCAATCCTCTACTAAAGGATCAATTCTTGTTTAGGAGTTTTAAATGTGAGCTGTGCAATAGATATTTTAAAAGTCAAGGATACTTGAAGGCACACACTTCAAAAGTTCATTAATGAGAGATGTCAAAAAAACTTGCATTCAAATATCTTTGACAATGCTTTAATGATGGTTTAATCTCAGTTCAGATAACCTAGATTTGAAAATTTATTAATGTAATTCAGATTCTGGTTTAGAAATTTTAAATGTGAGATGTGCAATAGATATTTAAAAAAAAATAAGGGGGGGGGGATGTCAAGGATACTGGAGTACTTGAACTTTACTACAGATACTTCAAAAGTTCATTAATATGTCAGAAAACTTGCTTTAATGCTAAATGATTGCTTAATTTCAGTTCAGATAATCTAGATTTGTTAATGTAATTCAGGTGGCTGAACTGAGTTTGAATTTAAATTATAGAAATAATTAAATTATTTATCTTTTTACTGAGCTGGTGATGGATCTGTTATACGGCTTCACTTAGACTAATTCTATTTGAAGTGGAAGTCTCTTTAGATAAGGGCACATTTATTAATGTGCCACTGTTGAAATAATCTGTGAATATTACTAAGAAACTTATATATTTGATTGCCAAGCAATATTAAATGTTTTTAAAAACTAAATGTTGTGAATATAAAATATTGTGATGTACTGCGCGTCCTCTTTAGTGTTTTAAAACTATTTTATAGTTTATGCACTGTTTGCTCTATGGTGGTTATTCTGTTACTTTCCTCAATTTTTTTTGATCAGATTATTGACAGAAATTGTATTAAAATGTCTCCGATTTTAAGTTAATACTTTCTTACACTGTGGCTCAAAGTGAATAGATTAAAATCCTTTGATCTGCATAGTCTTTAACCTTTATGTGATGTGGTTTTATTAAACTCCCTCATGCCAAAGCGAGTACAAGATCTTAAATTATATCTATTTAGTTGTAGTAACATGAATTCAGCTTTGAGCAGAAGAAAACAATGTTTGTGTTTGTGATAGTAATTACTTAGTTTTCATTAAAATGTGCTTAAAGTACAATTAATGTTCCTACAAATACTTTTGCAATGTTGTATGGACTTTCTCTCATTAGAAAATAAGAGGTATAAATAAATATTCTTTACAAGTGAAATTAAAAAACTGCTTAAGGTTTAAAATCTTGACAGTAATTGTTCAATCCGAATTTATACAATAAGTACTTATAATATTTAAATGTTTGTACCTTATTCTATATAAGAATATATATTGTATTGTATTTTGTACTTTTATTTTGTTATTAAATCTTTCTTATTATGTTGAATACAATGGTTTTATGTTTTCTTCTTAATTTAAAATACCCTTCCCATTATTGAAACCCTTTTAAAACTAAAGTTCCGAATTTAAAGTCCCCACTCTACTTTAAGCGTGTTTAACTGGTTGTATCTACGAAAAACTCATCATGTCACCTTGACATTTAATAATTAAAATCCAACCAATGAAATATCTCAAAATTTGACATTTCATCGATTGGTTTTTCAATTCGAAAGTAAACACTGAGGATTTATTTATAATTTTTTGAATAAGAAAAAATTGGATAAAACCATGGAAATTGCTAATGCTGTAGGGACTAGTTCGGGAGTCCCTAGGAACACTAGGATTATGGAAGGCGTAGGGGCCAGAGTAATAAGGGGCCCCGACTGGAAATGGGGCAAACAGGTGGGTTAGGTTATGTTTTGCTGTACAAAAAACATTTAAAAACATTTATTTTGCTGTAAATATAATCAAAAACGTTTATATTATTTAATATTTCTTTAACTAAATTCACGACAAAACGAATCTGTAAAGATATTAAACTTTTTATAAGACAATCAAGAGATAAATCTGATATTTTAATATTATTTTTTTTACAATAAATTAGGATGGTGGTGAAGGGCATGTCGGTACAGTTAGGAATTTTGAATCGCCAGATGAAGTCGTGGTAGTGTGGGATAATGGCACAGCTGCCAATTACCGCTGCTCCGGACAATATGATTTAAGAATTCTGGATAGTGCTCCAACCGGAATCAAGCACGAAGGTACAATGTGCGACACATGTCGTCAACAACCCATTTTTGGCATACGCTGGAAATGTGCTGAATGTGGCAATTATGATTTGTGCTCGGTATGCTATCATGGAGACAAGCATCAGCTAAGGCATAGGTAAGTTTTGTCTGGTTATCATAGCCATTTGTAAAGATGTAATGTTTTTAGGTTTTACCGTATCACAACTCCGGGTGGTGATAGATTCTATCTTGAACCTCGTCGAAAAACGAAGAAAATCGCGATTCGTGGTATATATCCGGGCGCTCGTGTTGTTCGCGGTGTCGATTGGCAATGGGAAGATCAAGATGGGGGTAACGGACGAAGAGGAAAAGTCCAGGAAATACAAGACTGGTCGGCGGCCAGCCCACGGTAGGTTCAGTCAAATAAACAAACTTATTCACTTTAAAATCTCATTTTTTTAGATCTGCAGCATATGTTGTGTGGGATAACGGTTCAAAAAACCTTTACCGCGTAGGTTTCGAAGGCATGGCTGATTTAAAAGTGGTCAATGATGCTAAAGGTCACACTGTTTACCGTGACCATTTACCTTGTTTAGGAGAACAGGGTGCAAGTCCTAGACCTGCAGGTCTTAAGATTGGTGACCAGGTTAATGTTGACTTAGATCTGGAAATTGTACAGTCTTTACAGCACGGCCATGGAGGATGGACTGATGGCATGTATGAATGTCTTAATAGGTAAGACAGTCCCTAATATTGTGAAAAATGTCAAAGGAATATTTTATTTTTTTATAGTATTGGCACTGTAGTAGGCATAGATGAAGATCATGACATAGTTGTGGCTTACAACAGTGGTAATCGCTGGACATTTAATCCAGCTGTACTGACAAAGGTTGCTACCCCAACAAATTCAGCTGGTTTTAACGAAACTCCCCAGCAACAATTTGCTGTGGGAGATGTGGTGCAAATTTGTGGAGATATGGAAAGAGTTAAGATGCTACAAAGAGGTCATGGTGATTGGGCCGATGGAATGGCAGCTGTGAGTTTGTATTTAGTGATCTGTACTTTATTTAAAATACTAAAATTGTGTCACAATACCTACATAAATCTTAATATACTGATATAAAAATACCCTACATATTGAAATATCATGGAAAATAAATTGTAAACATACCACACAATTTGAATCCTTCACACTGTTAGTTCATTGAGTTTTCAAACTCAGTTGTTACCAAGTACTAAAATTGTTACACAACTGTGTTTATACCGATGAGTTTATTACATGTGTAATTTTTAAAAAATAATTTTATGTATCTATAAATGATAAAATATAAAATAGGGTATTTTAAGTAACAGGATAAGTAAAGTAGAAGTAAACTTTCAAAGTTTAGATGATGTAATTTTATAAATGGCTTTAATTCATCTCTAATAAATTTAACATTCTTTTGGTTTACCTAAAATTCATACCTGTTTACCTGGCAAAAAAATCAAAGTTGTTTGAACTAGACTGCTGAGTTGATTACAGTGAAATATTTTTTGTTAAATATAATATGAGCCGATACATATCTTAATATAAAATAAAGCTCATGTTTAAGTAACAAGTAAAGAAAAATTGTAAACTTACATAGTTCTGCTGCTTATATCATATTACGTAGTCTAGGAAGGTTCTGGGCACCTTCTAAACATCAACAATATCTTGGCAATGAACTTTTATCACTATTAACTATTATTTTACAAACAATTTACTTCGAGATAAACTATTTCACTTCACTGAAAACGTTAAACAAGAAAGAAGGTTAAACCAAAGTTGCTAAAGAATTTTAACGTTAAATTACTAACAATTATGCATGTTTTAACTGAAAACTTTATATCAACTCGCTTAAAAACTATAATAACTTGAAAATTCTAGGCATCACTAAAAGAAACATTAAAAAACTCATTAAACTAACTGGCATAGAAACAACGTCTTCATCTCAACCACCATTTTTTAAATTTTTGGCGCGAATTAGGCTAATTTTAAATCAAACACAGGGCGGCATTTTTAAATTTACGTAACATCAAAAATAATTTGATCGCAATAATAATTTTTATTTATCATTGGCATATTTTTTTGGACAGTATAAATTTCCTCAATAATAGTTAAGTAATAGTAGACGTTGAAAGTTATTGGTTGTGTACAGTATCTCATTTGTTTAATCAAATAATTTTGTCCGGAATATTTTTGCGGGTTTTTACTTTTTATAAACTATTTAAATGTAATTTTGGCTTCAGTCAGAGGCTTCAGTTAATAGATATTAAGTGATAGTAGCAGATAGTAGGCTTTGTGAATGTTTATTAGTTGTGTACAGGATTTCATTTGTTCACTCTTTTAATCAATATCGCGAACTTTGCGTGCTAATTTTATTTTTTTATTTCGAATTTTTATTTTAGACTCTCGGAAAAGTTGGACACGTTCAACAAATTTACAACGATAACGATTTAAAAGTGGAGGTGTGCAATACGACTTGGACTTACAATCCTCTAGCGGTTACCAAACTTGCCAGCAAGGATGGAACCATGCATGGTGAGATAAAGATTTTTTTTTGTATTTTTGAAACTAAAAAGGAATGTATATGATTAGGTACGACTTCCGGAGAAAGACTTAGCGCTCTGTTGAAGAAATTGTTCGAAACTCACGTTTCGGGCGACGTTAATGAAGAACTAGTTAAATCTGCTGCAAATGGCGACGCGCAAAAATGCGAAGAAGTGCTAAAACAGAGCAACACTGCCGGTGCTGCTGGTATTGGCCCTGATGTTAATGGAGTGTTTGCAGGTATTTTTTAAACTAAATATTATGGGGTTCTTTGTTAAAATAAGCGTTGAGGTATTATGTAATTTTGTTTACCAAGTATTAGTATATAAAATGTTCAATTTTGGTTAGTTATATAATTACAATATTAAGGTGCGTATTCATTATCCGCACGAACGAACGAACGAACGAACGAACGTATGCTAGTGGTATGGACGGGGACCGCACGATAGAACCGCACGAGAAGACCGCACGCATTTCTTCATTCGCGCGCCAGTTCAAATCGTCAAGATATTGTTATAAACCTGTTTTTTTTTGTTTATATACCGTCATTGAATTATCGCTAAGCAAGTTACTATGGAGCAGTGCATAAGGAGTCGGGCTAGGAAGCGAGACCGGAGTTCTCGGCCGGAACATAACTTTTATTTTTTTAAATACTGTTATATAGTTTATTTTTGTAGTATAAAGAGAAAAAGAAACTATTATTCTGTTATTTTAATCTCCGTTATTAATATAAATTGATTGTTAGTACAATACCTCATTTAATATAAATAATATTCTACTTTTGAAATGTATCGGGCTAATTGTACCTAAGTAATATATTTTTAGTACCATATTGTAAACTATTTAATATTTCAGTCACTTAAAAAGTTAATTTGCATTGAATAATTGCCTACCATTAAAGGAAATTTGAGCTATATAATCCTTGATGGTCATATTCTGGGTATGCAAATACTTCCTCTAAATTTTGGGTTTCGTTCAACCGATTTATTCTCAAAACCTGAAACATCTACATATAAAAAGAAGCACAGGTCACTAATTATAATAGACTTCACCCTTGGAATTACTTCTATCACAATTACAATACGTTCATCTGCATTGGCATTTTCTACTTTTCGATGGGAAACAATAAACTTCCCAACATTTTTTAAATGATGTAACAATTCCTCTTGTGGTTACTTTTCCATAGATATCCTCAACTCTGTCCTCATGTGAATTCAGAGGCAATGAAAATGAAAATTATTTACCATGAACATCACAAACTAAAAACCTAATAAACAATTTTATACCGAATATAGAAATAAATTTAGTATTCTTACGTATCGTCCAAATCCGTGTTAATAGATAATTATTATTTTTAAATATATTTTTAGAACTGCTGGTTTTAGTAATTATTAAATTAAACGAACTAAAAAGTCTTAAAAATAAACAATTCTTAACCATAACCCCAAAAAATGCAGATCTCCTGTCAACTTTCTTTATTTTTTTTTACTCATTATTTTCCTAGTGACGTCACAGGTGGTATGCGCGAACTGAACGAAATTGGACCGCTATCATCGTACCTTGTATTCTTTGCCATGACATGCCTTTGATATTGGATGGTCGAGCACGAACGAACGAACGGCGCGGTCCCCGTCTAAATATACCGCACTTTCATTCGTTCGTTCGTTTCGTTCGTTCGTTCGGATAATAGTACGCACCTTAAATCTGAAAGCGCACGCAGGCGAACGCCTTTGGTGTACCGACTCGAAGCGGATGGTCGAGCGCACGACCGAACGAACGGCCGCATGCGTTCGGTCCCCGTCTAAATATACCGCACTTTCATTCGTTCGTTCGTTCGTTCGTTCGTTCGTTCGTTCGGATAATGAATACGCACCTTTACAATACAATTTTGGCGTCCTGTAAGTTGAAACTGCGACGCCATATAAAAATATTCGATTCAAATTTAGTTAGCTGTGCAAGCTTTAACAAGTTTTGATCTTTTGAGAAATCGACTATTTCTTGATTTTCATTCTATTTTTTTTAAACAACTCGGAGTGGTGTAGTTATTACATAATTGTTATCAGATTAGGATATTCTGTACATTTTTGTGTTGTTTTTTATTTGACGTGAAAAAAGTAGAACTTTTTTAAAGGTTTCAATCTTTGATAGCCTTGTTGCTTTTCAACATTATACTCGTTTTATTTCAGTTCGTGATATTTATTCTGCAAATGGTATCAGTATAAGTTCTTTTAAGATGTTCTTTTTAGAAATTCAACTCAAGTTAGGGCTACAATTTACCTTGAATGAAAATATTAGTGATTAGGTAGTGATTATATTATAAATTAGACATGGTTTTTAAGGTAAGGTAATGAATTTATTAGGAAAATTTAACAAAGTAGAGAATTGACTCACAAATTTTTAATGTTTTAAATCAGTACATATATTCTGATTGAAGCTACAGGGTGTTTCCTAAATAGTCTAAAAAATAGGGTGTGATTCTTTGTGTTTTTAAGAAAAAAAGTTTTATACAGGGCGAGTTTTAAATAAGTGCAAATATTTTCAGGGTTGTAGATCTCGATAAAAGAAACATATTTTCTCTCTACAGTTTCTTTCGTTCCGTTCAAATTAAGCGAGATATTTTAAGTACTTTGAAAATTTCAATAAAATGATTTTTCGCTTAAATTTTAAGAACTACTCTATCTTTTCTGGGTTTTCTTTTTAGTAAATTTAATCTATTACATATGTTGTCATATTATTGTATGTTGTCGTATTATGTTTTTTAACTAAAAATTAAAAAAAAATCCAAATTTTCATTACCTTTTAATAGACGTTTTTCTGAGGTCAAAATATACCACCTCTAAAAATATTTGCACTTATTTAAGACTCACCCTGTATAAACGTGTGGTCAAAAGTACCCTTATCTGTAAAATTATATGGGAAATGTTATCGATCGTCCTAGTGAAATGGACGCCATTTTTTTTTCGATCATACAGTACTTCCTTTCTGATCTGAGCGTTCTCTTCTGAGTGTTAAACATTTAAAAATAATAATTTTGCAATATGTCGGAAACTACTTTAGATATTTTTCTCAATTTTGGTATGTGGTTTTCAGGTACAAAGGGAGCTCATTTTGGTTAACTGTTGTTTTCTTACTTGAACCAGTGGCGTCCGTAGGCACACAACCTGGATTTTTTGATTAAAATAAATGGCAAGCCACTGTTTTTTTTCGAGAAAACATTTTTTTCCATGATTGTCCGTTCTTTTTTAACGAGATTGACATGTTGAGTTGTTCTTGGACGTCAAATGGTTTTGGAGAAAAAAATATATTATCTTAAAATCGCTAGAAAAGGAAAATATACAGGGTTCGGCAATAGTAGCGCCTAGAATAAAAAAGTTGGGAATTTTGTTTAAGTGCAAACCTAAAGTATGTACTAGGATGTATTTCAGGAAAATATTTTAACTTTTATAGGATGGCTCAAAAAAGTGTGAATGGATCGAGGATGATTGTTGACTATCGAAGAGGGGTTTAATTATTTTTTCGAAAACCGTTCAATGGATAAGAAAAACTCAAGAGATCAATTTTATTAAAAAAGTATTGATAATCAAAAAAAAAATGTTTTCTCGCAAAAACGCAGTGGTGTACCGTTTATTTTAATCCGATTAAATTCATTTTTCATTTAAAAGTAACACCCTCTAGATAAAAAGAAAGTACTTTAGATCCCATGTTTATATAAACTTTTATTCTTAAAAACATCACATCCTATTTGTTTAAACTATTTAGCACACAGCATTTTTATGAATTTTCAGGTCATACCGCTTTACAAGCAGCTTCTCAAAACGGCCATTTGGAAGTCATCACTGTTCTTCTCCGGTTCCATGCCGACGTTGAGATTGAGGATAAAGACGGCGATAGGGCTGTGCACCACGCCGCTTTCGGAGACGAACCCGCCGTGGTACAGCTCCTTGCCCACGCCGGAGCTGATCTCAACGCTCGAAATAAAAGGAGACAGACCGCTTTGCACATCGGAGTTAACAAGGGCCACATTGGTGTGGTGAAGATGCTGTTGGATTTGGGCTGCCACCCTAGTCTGCAGGTAAGTGAAATAGTGCAGAGGGAATATATTTAAGGGAATTTGATTTTTTTGACAATTGTTTGGTTTCATTGTTATTTTATTTTAAGTCTCTGGTGTCAAGCGTGTACGTCTGTTCACGCTTCTGTATATACGAATTCAAGAGCTTTTTTTGGTAGACACCGGTAACACCAGTTTTGAGATGGTCATGGTTCTGACTGCCTCAATGTATCAGATTTAAATAAGATTTTTTTTTTCTATTTTATCAAACAATTAGCTTTTGCATGTGACTTTGTTCTGCTTAAATCTCGAATAGTTTGTACCCTAAGAAGAAATATTTTTTTTTCTTGGAATTTATAAAAGGCGCCAGTATAAGAACTTTAGAAGCATTTTTACCCTCTTTATGCATTATGATGTGTATTATATATTTTAAATGATCGTTTAACCCTCTATGCATAGACTAGTGGAACCTTACAATTGCTACATTTAAACTGTTTCGAAAATGAATAATTTTAGAGTTGTTTCAGATGAAAGCTTTCAATTGTTGATTTTTTGGGTATTGTATATTATGCACCATTTGAAAAGAAATTAATGTTTTTTTCCAGTTTTTTGCACTTTTTTTACCTGAAACTTATAAAAACCCTCAATATAATAATCTCAAGAACATTTTTATCTTGTTTATATGATATGAATATCAATCATTTGAAATAAGCTGTAAGCGTGCCTTACGTGAACTGTCAATTGTGGAAGATGGCAGAGTTCCAAATCTAATTTATTTAACAATTAATTTTTTGTATTTTTTTAAACTTATTGTTTTATTTATTTAGATTTGAGTAACTTTATTTTAAACTAATATAATAATTTCAGTATTAGAATTATCTAAATTAATATAACAGATTTTTTTTAATTACAATGATTAGTTTTTCTAATTAATTGTATATTACTGGAACGAAAAACGTTTTTTTTTGCCTAAAAAGCAAACCATTGATTGATTTTTTAATGTATTTTTATGTTTTAGTTAGAAGATTTAGAATATACCGGGTGCATCTGAAAAGTGGCTTATCCCTATAACTTTTTTATTTTTTCAGATAACAAAACGAGATTTGGTATGTTAATATATGACATAAATTAGGATTGATTGACGTATTCAATTGTTTTTGGTCACTTCCTGTTTCACCGGAAATAACTACAACTTTTGATTTTTAAATGACACTTTTGGTATTTTTTTACTTTATTCGATAGAAAATGGTTCTCTGAATAGAATGACTTATCATATGCCAACTTTGTAACATGCGGTTCATAACGACAATTTGATTCGAAATACCAAGTGTGTGGTACCAAATTATTCGTAAAAAAATGCTTTTTCCAAATATGCTAATAAGCCATCCTTGTTCCATATGAAAAAATTGAGATATGATTAAAAATACGATTTAGGCATCTTTTAACCGCCCAGGACAAGACACAAAAACATAGACGATCAAATCTATTTTTCCAAGACTCCTTGATTAAAAATTAGTGTTTTTAACACAGCCATGGCACTCTAGATTGAAATTTAAAATTCAATTTTGTTTTAAGCAAAGATGTTAAAAGTTGACATATAATATGTCATTCTATTTAGAATGTCATTTTCTATCGAATAAAGTAAAAAAACATTGAGGGTGCCATTTAAAAATTGAAAGTTATAGTCATTTCCGGTGAAACAGGAAGTGACAGAAAACAATTGAATACGTCAATCAATCCTAATTTATGTCATATACTAACATACCAAATCTCCTGTTTTTGTGTAAAAAAACTATTAAACGCGATAGAAAGGGTGCGCACGAGGCGCGTAGAGCAATTTTTTTACTTACTTACTTTTTAGATTAAACGTTCCATACTTCATAACTATGAATACTAATATATTGCTTGTTATTCTAATTGTCATAATAATTCTTAATGTCTGGCCAACGAGAGAATAATATAACCTATGATCGAAAAAAAAACGTCCAGTTGCCTTTTAATGACAGTTCCCAATAATTTTACATATAAAATGATAGCGACCTCCATTTCATAGCCATCGCTGACGCCGTTTTTTTTTCACAGGTAAATTGTACTTTATGTCATTTTTTGGATCTCGTCGGTGGAAATCTTCCCTGACTCGTTAAACATTTTTTGGCTCTATTTGTTTTTACTAATGTTTTATTTTTATTACGCGTATTAAAATGAAGTATTTTTAGTTTCATGTCGTAAACTCTTGATAAGAAAATACCTGGGACGATACGCCTTTCCTAATTTAATTTCCTTAATAGTTTGCTTAAACCGGTAGCGCAGTAAAAGGAACTTTATGTACTTTTTATTAGGCACATAACGAATGAAAATAAGTGCGGTTTGTTAATCGTTTTATGGCGTTAGTAATATTTTATTATTGTATGATGTAGTGTTTAATTAAAAGAAACCAAGAAATTAAACCGTCCACGCGCGTGTTATGCGATATAAAATTGATCGTTTTAAAGTTTCTTTAAAATATTTTTATTATTGTAGTAATAAAATTTGAGGGAAGCTTTGAAATCTGTAGTTTGCCGGTTTTGTACCGGTTACAGTATTTCCTTATTTAGATGTCTTGAACTGTGTTGTAGCGGTCTAATTAGGTACTTAAGAGTCCATTTCACTTGTCCGAAATAGTAGCAAAATAAGCGTTCGGCATTTAACGTTTTATGTAAAACTGGCTAGGTATTTTTACACAAATGAAGAAGCATGAAATTGACACGAGTTACGTATATTCAGCATATTGAGATTGAAATTTCTGATCATACCAGTGCCAATACCAAATTAACTTTTAGTCACGTGATTAAGCTTGACCGACACAGCGTTGCCTAGTTTTACACATTTTCTTTTAACCAAAATATTTTAGGAAACAAAAACGATCTTTGCCTATAAATTACAGTAACTAGCGAAAGAAAATTAGAGAACCTCCGCCGCCGCTGGACACTTGCCACGGAAGTTTTAAAAGTTGAACACGGAGGAGACTATCTTTTTAGAACAATGCCGGAGTTGCGTGAGAGAGGAGCAGCTTAGCCGTGGCGAACCGTATAATCAGATTTATAATTTAGATTTATTAGTTTTGTGAAGCGCCGCGCCGCCGACCCTATTTTATATTGCAAAAAGCGCACGAAACGCCAGAATTATCGCTCCCCCGGCTCGAACTTTGTTCCGAATTACGCCGTTTACTTTTTGCGGAATAAGCCGCGAGAAATGCGAATAATTCTCCAACATATATATCAAATATACCCAACCCCCTTTCTCGTACTTTGTGTCCATAAATTACTCCAAAATTAGATTCGGGGACGTCAAAAATAGGCTTTTTGGTTACCAGAACACCTTCAAACCAAACCAAACCAAACCAAACCAAACCATTCCACAGACTCTAAAAGAAAAATAAAAGAGGCTTTTTTAATACCATATGATCGAAAAAAACGGCGTCCAGTTGGCTTGGAAATGACGATCGATGACATTGCCCATATAATTTTACATATAAAATGACAGCGATCTTCATTCCATAGCCAACGCTGACGCCGTTTTTATTCGATCATACAGTACAATCTAATAAAAATAAATGTATTGCTCATGCATCTGTAGATGTTAGTAATGTCACAGATTAGGTGTACTATATGTATACAGATAAAAATCTTGCCCCTAATTCGTGATAGAAAATTATTTTTTATGATGATGAGCAAACGAGTAAAATTTCCTGTGCGCAAAAATAAACTGGCATTTAAACAGCGTAATAACTGGGCCAGCCGGTCAGGCACTGTGCACAATTTTAGAGGCCATAAGTGGGCGTGCTATGTGCGCAAACTAGTAACCTAACTAGTGCGCGACTCCGAAAATTGGAACCACGAAAAACAATGCTTTTGACGATAAGTTTATAGTCCGTATAATCTGTGGTAATGTATGACAATCGCTTCTTTGATTTTAAAGAACATAACATAAATAAATATAACATACGTAAATTTAAAAACAAATTAAAAATAATCAAACAGAAAGTTTGAAGCTTTCTGGTTTTACCTTATTAAGTAATTCTTATCAGGTAGTAATTTAAATAATTGAAATTGAATTTAATTATTTGAATAAATTTACTGAGAATTTTAATGTATTATAGGAGGTCTCAGTGACTCTTTTAAAGAAAAATGTATTACAATATTTTGAAAGGAAACTTCGTTGCTGAAGTAATTGTTAATTTGAAGTCAACTTGAAGTTTAACTTGATATGACGGACTTGATAAGTAATGTCATTAATTTGTCTTTGACTTGACATGTAATGTAATTTTGACAGAACGTCAACGGTTTATAATGTACTTTTTTATCGTTTTTTGGCTTCCGACGACGGAAGGAGATAGACGACCCCTTGAAACGTTTAGCAAATTTGTTTTTCTAGAAAAAGTCACTGGGAAGTTGGTTTGCTTTTGGATTTAAAGCAATGTGGTTTACAAAAAAAAAATATTTTGTTGATTTCTCTGCCAATGGCGAAAAATCCAAACTTTTTTTCAAGAGCTGAACCCTGTACAAACAGTGGCGAATACAGGGGGGGGGGGGGCTAAAATCTCTAAATTGAATTAAATATTAGGCTTTTATGTTAAAAATGGCGCCCTAAAAAGCATATTCTATATTATTGTTTATTTGCCCCCTCTAAAATTAATTCCTGAATCCGTCACTGTCTACAAAGGTATAGACGTTACTTAAGTAACTAGTGAAACAAAGTGTTTTACTTTTTACCCATTTAGCTTTCTTACTACAGCGTACAAGTTAACAATTCACTTATAATTTCAGGAAAAAACATTATTTTTCCCTAAACTGTTACGGCTACTAAAATTTCGCGCATAATAAAAAACTTTTATCCTTTTTTATGTGGACGAAGGAGAGAGTCGACTCTAATTTTCAGACGGTTTTATTCCTGTTTTACAACGGTGGCGACAATACCTTTTTTTACGACTGTTAAAACTTTGTGTACGTGGAACAATTTTTTCTGTTTTCTTTCATCTCCCAGAG